ATAACATATCTAGCGCTGCTTCACAGAGGAGTTGCTTAGAAAAGTTGAAAATAGTTTTATTCATCACTCAAAATGTTTTATTTTGTTTTTATTTCATTTTTGCAATAATATGACACTGACACAAACTATGATTATTTTAGTCGACTAAGTGAAGACTAAACAGTTTTACCTAAAATCAATCTAGCTCAGCCTGTGTGTGTGTGTGCTTGTGTGCGTGTGTGTGTGAGAGAGAGAAGAGCAGATGACCAGAGGAATCCTGAGTTTTAAATAGAGCTCTGTCCCATAAGTGGATAAGTGGAGTCTGCTGAGGACCAAATCATTTCCACGGGACGGACACACACATCCATACTAACACAGGACAGACGCACACACTCATGCACACACACACTCACTAACAGAGACCAAAACTGTGGACGCCAAAAAGTACTGTGTTGGGAGTTTGACACAGAATCCCTCTACCTATGTCACAAACACAGAAAACTCCATCTAAAATACAGAGACTATTTATGCGCAAACTTTTAAACTAACACAATACATTTTAATTTTTCTAATCATAAGCAAATTACTGTGCAATTTAGAATACAGACTATTTAGAACTATAGAAAAATACTTTCTTACTTTTTTTGTAAGATCTCACTCCTCTGTCTATGTTTGAGTGAAATTGGTAGTTGAGTCTCATATGCACTTTAACCTATTTAAACCCAGATCTGAGCTTTAAACTGTGTTGTTGATCTAATAACGAAGGTTTACGTCATGGAGCTGTGTTTTGTCCCCATTACAAGCTGGGCTTCATGATCCAGACAGTCCTCACAATGTGAGAAATAACCGCCCAGACACACAGAGTAATTGTGTTTGTGAGGGAAGTCTGCCCGTGAAAAAATAAATGACATTTTCATAAAGATTCAATAAGGAGACGTTTGTGCAGATGTGTTTAGGGATTAGGAGGTCTAATAAATTCATACAACAAAGTGAGACTTTATCAAAGTCTCAACTAAACACCTATTTCAATCCTCACAATGATAATAAATTATAATAAATAATAAATTATTATTTAAAATCTCCTTATTCTGTGTAAAAGCTGCTAACCCTGTAGTTTAGACCACTACAGATCTGTTCTGAAATGTCCCTGTGTCAGAGGCCCTCTGCATGAAGCCTTCCTCTAACTGGGACTAGACCAGGGCTAAACCAGGAATAGGCCAGGACTAGGTAATGACTAATAGAAATCACTTTAAATTTAGGTTTAATTTTAGGGATGTAAACTGACATGAAATTCCCACAATTATTATTTTTAACTTGTTACAATTATGTTATAATCTGAATTATCCTGAAATCCTCATTGAATCCAGATTTAAACCCATAAAAACCTAACCTGGATCTCTCCAGATTGATCTAGGCTAAGAGAGTTCTATACATCAGCCTGGGATGGCTCTCACTGAAAGTGATTACAGCCAATGATTGGAATGATCAAAGAAATATTTCATGTTGATTGGTTGAAGCATTGTAACACAACCGAAAAATCAACCATCCAGTAGTTTTGGTTCATCCGGTGCTGGTTTCTGGCCAAACCTTAGTGCTGCTCTGTGATTGGTCAGTTTCGTGTGGGACCTGGGGCGATGCAAATGCAGAAACTGAATTATATGGATTCTCAACAAACTAAACTCACAAAAACTGTGAGAATTCATCTGCTGACAAGGTTATTAAAACCAGTTTGCTCTGTCGTGTTTGTGGTTTTTCTTTGAGTTGAGTCAAAACAAACTACACCTGGAAATGTCTGTTTTTTATTTAAAAGAATTGAACCAAAGACTCAAATAATCTGGACTAAAACTGGACTTAACCTTAAGAAAATAAACAGCACCTCTGCAGATTTAAAGGAACAGAGGAGGAGAGAGAGCGAGAGAAAAGAGAGAGAGAGGAGAAGAGAGAGGAAAAGAAAGGAAAGAAATTTCAGAGGGGAAGAGGAGAGGAGAGCGAGAGGGAGGGAGAGAGAGACAGGCACAAGAGAAAAATAGAAGCGTAGGATGAAGACAGTGTGAGAGAGTAAGAAGAGAGGGCTAGAGGACACGATTGAGTGTGAAAGGGAGAGGAAGGAGACAGACTAAGAGAGAGAGGGGAGAGGAGGGCGAGAGAGCGAGGAGAGAAAGATGAGTATGAGAGGAAGAATGTATAGAAAGAGAAAGGAGTGAGAAAAAAAGAGCATGACTGACTTTGAATAATACATTTAATTTATGTTACTTAAAACCTATCAAGGATGAGAGGAGGCAGGAGGGGGAAAGAGAAGAGGAGGGACGTATAGAGAAAGGGATGGAGGGAGGGAAAGTGGAGTCTGCCGTGTCTTGCAGTGCTCGATTTGGGGCTGAGTCCGCTCCACGGGGCCCCTCTGTGTGTGGGATAACCAGAAAGAAAAGAAGAAAGAAAGAGTGAGTGGAGGGGGGAAGAGAGTGAGGGATGAGGGGAGAGAAGGAGAGAGAGAGAAAAAGGAAAGGATTTGGAGGAGGGAGAGAAGAGAGGAAGAAGGAGAGAGAGAGAGAGGAATCCCTCTACCTATGTCTTCAACACTGAAAACTTCATACAAAATGCAGAGATAATTTATGCACAATTTAAACTGTCATTGAACTGTCTAATTATAACTATTCTGTAAATTAGACAAGTTTGAGCCCTTGTTTACATTGCGGTTGCTAGGTAACAGTTATAGATCTACCTCTGTTTTTGTCACATTTCCTGCCAGGGTCCAACTAGGAAATAACATTATAAACATTATAAAACTAGGCAAGATTAGTAAAATCATGTTAACTGTGTGTAAGTGAAATGTGTCATATGCACTTTAACCAGGACTGAACCAGGTCTTGAGGTGTCTCTTTTCTTTTCCAGTGTCCGACATCTCCGGTCCCAAACGCATCTCATCTGCACTGACTCAAAAAGAGAGAATTTCATTTAGAGACAAAAAACTACAACTGAGCTCAGGCTGGGGCTCAGGCAAGAAGAGGACGAAACCAGGACTAAACCAGGATTAAACTGGACTAAACCAGGATTAAACAGAACTGAATCAGGGTCAAACCTGGACTCAGTCAGGATTGCTGGAAATTGCACTTAATAATTTGAATCCTGTAAAATAATTTTTTATCATTAAATATTTATGAACTATTGACCGAGTTTTCAGTCATTACATTTTATCATGTTCAGTTTTAGCACAAATGTGATTCTGATCTGATCTTACCATGTGACATAAGACAAGGTATTGACTATAGGCCCCAGTGGAGCACACATACACACATGCACACACAAAATTGATCAATAGTGGCAATTTAAAGAAACTGTTTTTCTTTTTTAGGCTGTATTTCAGAGTACAGCACTGTAGCTCTGATAAAAAACTTTGACAAGATATTTTATAGTTAATTAAGCAGGACTAAAACATGACTAAAGTAGGACTTAAACAGGACTTGGAAGTTAGTCCAATGCTCACTGACAGTTTGATTATAGAAGGTAAAACTTTGACTGGGAACAGTATGCTCACAAACAGTCTCTCCGGCATAGCAGCATAATATGTTTAATAGTGTAATAACATAGATCCCACAGGACTCCAGGTTTAGCAGAGTATACCAAACTCAAACATAAACCAGGACTACACCAGGACTGAACCAGGACTAAAGGAGGACTGTTCTTGTCATGTCCTGGAGGCAGTTGGACATTTGAGTTCCTGTCTCTCTCTGCACTTAAATACCACAGACATTAGCCCGTGAAGCCGCCATCTTTGTTTGAGCTGTTTACTTTTGGTCCGGACCTGACTCGTATGAAACTGGATCCACGTTTAGACCAAACCTCCGGCCACAAATCGGGAAGAAGGCACAAGCAGGTTTTGGAAGATCAGGTCTGAAGCCAAGAAGAACCCAAGTCTAAAAACACCTACAAAAACTCTTGAGAGGAGAGAACCAGGACGAGACCAGGACTAGACCAGGACTGAACCAGGACTAGCCTACATCTATAACAGGACTAGAGCGGGACTGAAGCAGGACTGGGATTAGATGAGGACTAAAACATGAACAAAGACTTAAGTAGGACTAAAGTAAGTATAGGGCTAAACCAGGACTAGACCAGGACTAAACTTGGACATTATACTTGCTGACGTATACGAGTGAGGGCAGAGATAAAGCCCCACTGTGTAAAATTTAATCATATTATGACCTTAAACTTTTAAATTACTTCTCACCAGTCAAACTTTTGAAGTGCCTCTGCTCTGTGCTCCTGGTGAGAGCCAGTTTCAGTTTCTTGTTTGAGAAATGGGACTCTCTCGGTTCTGAGACTGAACCAGGACTCAGCAGGACCCTGGTCCGGTTTGTTTTTAGACCGGTTTTTGGACTAGGTCTGACCCCAGACTGAACCAAAGCTAGGTCTGGACCAGGTCTGGAGACTTGGGTGGGTTTCTGTTTGGGTCTAAGGAAGAGGTCATTTCATATATAGAGATTCAAGAATAAACCTTGTAAAGGCAATAGGATTGGTACTCTGTATAAATGTGCATCATTAAAGTTGCATTGTGTAACTTTTCTTGTGGGGATCCTCCAGCTGCTTGTCTCCATAATTTATTGCTTTATATTGAATTTTCCACACTACAGCATTAAATGTACCTACAATTAAATTTGTATGGGTGTTTTTATTACTATATAAATAACATGAAAAGGAGGGACAGTGAAAATATGATGCAGAGGAGGGACAGTGAAAATATGATGCAGAGGAGGGACATTGTAAATATGGTGCAGTGAATACTTGGTGCAGAGGAAAGACATGGTACAGAGGATGCGGGGGAGTTAGGAGGCCTAGAGGAAGACCAGAGAGTGTGCGCGTGAGAGAGATTTATGAAGCAGTGAAAGAGGACTAAAGAGACAGGTTTAGTCTCTGGTTCTATACCCGGGGCCTCTGGTTTGTTGTGGGCGTGACCTGAGCTCCACGCGGAGGAGAGGCGGCTCTGCTCGGGCCTCTACGAGATATAAGCCTCTGTCCCCGGCCACATGTCTGAAACACTCCCGCTGCTGCGTCCTGACGCACGGCACACTTTTGGCACACACGTTATGGAGTTTTTGGAGGAGAAGTTCCCGCTGAAGAGCTCCGGACTGAAGACCGGGACAGACTTCTACCTGGAGCCCGTGCTGCAGAGCCTCGAGGGCGGACACTTTTTCAGCAAGACCTCGTTGAAGTGTTCCCAGGGCTTCGGACTGAGCGAGAGGGACGAGCCGTGCATTGAACATAACGGTCAGTACATCTATTTACCACGAATATTCAAGATCATTTCTTTAATCTTGTTTAGTTTGAATTAACACAATAGAACTGAAATGATCAGAGCGTAAGCTAAACAACAGAAAACCTTTTGCATTTTGAAACTTTCTCAAAAATCTTACACACTGATACAACATAAAAGTTTAGTTTAAACTACGGTTTAATTAAGTTGCAAAATGTCACATATTTTTGTGCTATGTATCATTTCATTATAGATTGAACCAAAATTAATTGTCTGTATAAAAATAATTAAACATGTATTGTGTATTTATATTCACTTTTTGATAAATATCACACAAATTAGGCTACTGAAGATTTTAAAACGCGTTCTACTTTTGACACCCACACTTTGACTGTTTGTGGTACCAATGTATTTATAATGTAATTTTTAACGACAGTAATTCAGTCGTTCAGTTGATTTTTTACAAATATTCTGCCCTTTTCGCACGGCCTTACGATGTGTCTTGTGAGTCATGGTTGCTGAGTTTTAGAGAAAAATGGCCCGACCCTCGCGCTGTAATATTCGGAGCGCGCGTAATGATTTATGCGCAACGGTCGGTTTGTTTTGGCACAGGTCTCCGCTGGACGTGTTTTACGCACGAGCTCTCCTCCTTTGGGACATTTCGTCTTCTTGACACAGAGACACACACTTTTCACGCCTTAACATCAAATAGCAACATTAAAAAAGACATTTACTGCGTGATTTGTGGAAATAGGCCTGTGCGGATCCGCTTGGGAATTACGCGTAAAAATTGTTATTCATTGTTGTTATTAATTCATATATTTTTATTACTTATACTTAAGACCTATTTATATTTTGTAGTCTAAAAATTAACAAAAATAAAGTCTAGACTAATTCTTCTTCGTTAAATTCATTATGAAAATAGTGTTAAGCGCCTACGTGCTATAGGTCTAATTAAAAACAATTACAGGCAATGAGCTGTTGGAGATTACATTCAGCTCAACTCAAACTATTTTTTTTAAATGTCCCTGACGTATGTAAAATATAGTATAAACATAGAATAGGTATTTTAAAATATATATTGTATTGCCTATTGAAGATAAATTCTTCCGGCCTATTGGTAGTTTTTCAAACCTGACGTGAGATTTCCCTTTCAGTCTCAGATATGGGCTTGTATAATATGTATTATAATAAGCCTATGTAAGAGAGAGCATAATTAATGTACAGGTTATGGCAGCTCTTGATACATCGCGTGAAAAAATGTGAATGCACTCAGAATCAACATGGAATAAAAAGTCTGTTTAAAAATTATTATTAATACAAATATTAGACAAAAATATAGTTTAAAATATAAATGATCAACACTGCATTAGAGTAGAACCATATTTATACAGTTGCTTCAAATTGACAGGAGTTTCTCTCGGGTAAATGACTAGTAGTGATAATGTCGAGGTCCCTATTTAATTTTGTTAAATTAAGTTTCAACCGCGCCAAACTTCTCCACCTCCTCATCCCCATCTCCTCATCTCCAACTCTAACACATCTCTCAGATGTTCTGACCTCCTCTCTCTCTCCCCCCCTCTCTCTCCCTCTCTCCTCTGCAGCGTCGTACGTCGTGGCCAAACCGGAGGCGGATTCGGTGCACGCGGACCTGGGCGCGTGCTCCCCGGTGTCCAGTGAGCACCACCGAACGCGCGCGGACACGGAGCACGCGGACACGGAGAAGTGCGACAGTCACGTGACAAGCAGTAAAAAGCGACGTCACCGCACCACGTTTAGTAGCGCGCAGCTGGACGAGCTCGAGAAGGTTTTCCAGAAGACGCACTATCCTGACGTGTACGTGCGCGAGCAGCTGGCCACGCGCACCGAGCTCACGGAGGCCCGAGTACAGGTACGGGTCACAGGAGAAGTGTTTTTCCCATGATTCATCAGTACTAAGCCCATAGACTGTATGTGTGCTTCCCCTGTCCAGTGTTATAACTGATGAGCCAAAACAGACAGACAGAAGTCAACACCAGTGTGCCATATGGGGCTCTATTGGCTCAAGTACCTACTGCCGTTGTGTCATTGGGCAAGACACTTCACAGACATTTTCTGAAGTGCAGATGGTGCAGATTAGTAGCCTCACTTATGTCAGTTTGTCCCAGGGCAGCTGTGGCTACAATAGTAGGTAACCATCAGAATGAATAAATAGTGTGTGTGTCTTGAAAGGTACAGTATAAACTAAGTATTATCACTCAAACTGACTTCTCCAGCTGTTTCAATTGCTTTTATTACAGAGCTAAATTAATATTAAGATGATTATATAAGATTTTTTTTCCTCATCAGGCTTATTATTAAATGCAGTTTTCTTCATTCACTCAACAAAATGAGCTGTTTGAAATGAATAAATACTGTAACTTTTTCACTGAAATATTTCTCAGTGTATTAATTATACATCAGTTAAGTGGCAGTTTGTACCAAAAAGTACCAGAATGCAATGTGCTGAAGTTGCGCTGGATTCTAAAACAGAACCCCTCTACCTGTGTGTGTGTTCAGGTTTGGTTTCAGAACCGCAGAGCCAAATGGAGGAAGAGAGAGAGATACGGACAACTGCACAACAAACCACACTATCCGCCCTCGTATGACCTGCTGCCCCGAGCCGACACCTACTCACAGGTAAACAACAATGAATCATCTTGTAAACAACACTTACGCACAGGTAAACAATAACAAATACACAAGTAAACAACCAAAATACATATGAATTTAATTCATTATAATATATTAGTGCAAATGAGATTAATGAACCTTTGTAGTAAACGGTGCTTGTCTCAATCTATTGTCCATACACTAAAATTCAATTCTAAATCTAAATAATAATATATATCTCTTTTTTTTAACTTGACTTGGGTTTGGTTTTCCATGTTTCTCTTGGGCTATAAGTCTGAATGAACCTTTTGTGATTGAGTAATGCCAGCACTTTTTTGTTCAGTGGAAACAAATATTTTAATTTCTGTTTATTTACACTGACAGGGGAGACATTGTGCCAGTTTTTGTTTCATGTGGATAGGCCCAGTAATTACAGAAATATGAGCCATAAACATGGTCAATAACTCTGCAATCTGACAGTTAACCAGCAAATTCCACCACAGAATTCTGACTAGGCCTTCACCTCAGTTTAAAAGGCTCATATTACACTATTCTCTGAACTGTATTATAACGTTTCCTCATCAGACCTGGAGTTGTGTTTTGTGTCATTTGCACATGTTTAACACACAAACGCTGCATATTTAGGTTGAGTTTTCCCCTCAAACGGAAAACACTCTGCTCCACTTTGTGATGATACAGGAAGTGCTCCGCTGTGTCCACACACCTTCATTAGAATCATTTGGATGATTTCAACCCTGGAATTGCCAGTCTATACTGAACTAAAAAGTAGAGTAAAAAGCGGCTGTTAACTTTTAACTTGAAAACTATTACTACATGACATCACAAGGTGGAACAGAGCATTTTGACCTTTGGAGATGTAGACAGAGTAATAAAGTGTTACTCAAATTTGTGAATGAAACAAACTCAACTCCAGGTCTGTTTTTAAGTAAACATTATAACATGGCTTAAAGATCACAGGAGTTAATTTTGTGTAGTATAGGACCTTTAAACCATGGATTTCAGATGTTGTGATGTTACATGACCTTTGACCTCTGACCTCTGTGTCTCTGCTGCAGATCCCCAACAGCCTGTGGTCATCCCCCTCAGTGGCGCCCCCCTCTGTCTCCTCCTGTGTACTGCCGCGCGCCTCTCCTCCCTGTGTCTCCTCCTCGGACCACGGCTACCTCCACTTCACCCAGCAAAACCAGTTCAACGTCTTTAACCCGGATGCCCTGCTCACCTCCACCCAGCCCCCCCACCCTCCACACGGCACCCACGTCACCCACAGCACCCACAGCACCCACGGGACCCACGTGTTTGAGACCAAGCCCGAGTTGGAGAGGAGATCTTCGAGTATTGCTGTTCTGAGAATGAAAGCCAAAGAGCACGCAGCAAACATCTCCTGGACCATGTGATCAGGAAATAAAGACTGAAACTATTATAATAAGAAGATGAGATTTACAAAAGAAACTCTGAACCACCTCCTCTTAGACCAAGACCGAGAACTAAACGAGGACTAACTCACTAAATCATGACTAGACCAAGAACTAGGATTAAACCAGGACTAAACCAGATCTACTAGTAGAGTAAGGTTAAATCAGGGAAAAACCAGGTCTAGACCAAGACTTAACCAGGACTAAACATGACTGAAGTAAACCAGGCCTACCCCTGGACTAGACCAGGTTTGAAACGATCTGATAGACCAAGACTTAACCAGGACTCAACAAAGTCTAAAACAGGACTATCGCCTCTGGTATACTGGCCACAAAAGCTGCACTTAAGCAGAACTCAGGACTGAGCCAGGTCTAACCTAAGACTGAACCAGGACTCAACCAGGTCTCAAGCAGGACTTAACCAGGAGAGAGCAGAGAGAGACTGAGCGGTTGTAATATTTTCATGGTCACAAACCTTTCCGTATGAACAGCAAAAAATGTTCCTGAAGGTGCCTTTAAAATGAAATGTTTACAGATTCTACCTAAAATAATCTAATTTGTTTTTTAGTTTTACAACAAAAACTACATTTAAAAAAAATATTTTTCAAACTGTTTTTTTGTTTCATCTTTTGCACATTTGTGACTTTTTCAAGATTACTTCCACAAATCTATATTTCGGTACGTTTTAGAGTAAAGTCAATGTACATAGAAAGTCAAGTGCACAAAACGAGTGGTGTTAAAGCTGCACTATGAAACCTTTTTGGTGAAGGTCCCTCAGTTCTGTGTCTCCATGGACATTTAATTCTTTTTCCTGGAATATTCTACAGTATGGCATTAAACCTACCTATCTTGCTTTATTAATTACAGATGTTTTACTGCTAAAGAATACTTTGAAAAACATGCATTATTGCTGTGAGCGGTGTTGCCTCTCCACAGATCCAACTTGTACCTTTGCCTTGTTGTGTTACCTGCTTGTCTCCATGGACATAGATAAGTTTAATGTCATACTGTGGAACATTTTTGGAAAAGCAGTAGCATCTCCATGGAGACAAGAAGGTGTCTTCTGGACTCTTCACCAGGAAAATTTGATATTTTTATTAGTTCATTTTAATAAAATAATCTTAAGATAGTTATGTTAATGACAGACAATCAAATGCTTTTCATATTGCTATATTTTTGTTGTTTACAAATTTGATACTTTGCAGTGACGTCATGCTGGAAGTGTTTATGGTAGAATGTTCAGCAGCTACCATAGTGACACAATGCACACATTAGCTATTAACTGTACCATTTAATAACAGTTTAAAATACCAAATGGATTTAAACAGCACATTTTCAGGAGAGACTGTCAGCTAAAGCGAGCTACTTTGTGACTGTAATGTTATTTGAAAGGGACTTGCACAAATCATCTCAACTGTTGTAGTTCCACTAAATTCTTTCTGGTCAGATTGTGTAAAAACAAAACTCAGATAAAAGGTCTAACTTGAGTAACAGAGCTTCAGACAGAGCAGTGCCTCTGGTTAGCCTCACACCCCAGGGGAATGTTGATGACATTAGCTACAAAGTATCAGTTAAAGGTCCTGTGTGTGCACCATAGATTGTATATGGTGTGTATGGTGGCCTAGTGGGACAAACTAGGTGCCTCTCAAATCATGTAAAGGTTTACTGAAAATAAAGAATGAAATCATGTTTAAAGTGGCTACTGAGGAGATTGTGTACTGTTGGAGCTGAAATAAAAATGAACTATTTTGCAGAGTGGTTATCCTGTCTCCTCCTCTCAGTCAGGAGGTTGTGGGTTAGACTCCTGACCCCTCCCCTTCCTGTGAAGTGTGGGAGTGTGTAGTTAATGGGGGGAGTTGAACCCTCAGGTCAGAGAAATACTGCAGTACATTTATCAAAGTACACACAGGAAATGAGACTACTGCAAGAGGGCCTACTTGTACATCAATACTTAAACAATACTCAGTTACATTTACTTGAGTATCTTTTTAAAGAAATCATAGTCAACAGTACTCTTACTTGAGTAATATATTGTACAGTGTAACAGTATTCTTACTTGAGTAAAAGTTGTGCCTACTTTTCCCACTGTGAGTAAGTCTACAAGTGACATCCTGACTCTTTAAGTTACTATTACTTATTTATTTATTTATTTAGGTATTTATTTTGCTAATTTCTACTACAAATTTTTACTGTTACTACTTTGTACTTCTACTTGTGTAATATCATTTTCAATTAACGTTACACTTATCTGAGTAAAATTTTTGGGTACTCTACTGGCCCTGACTGAGCTGGGGGACAAATCAGAATTTTCAGGTGGAATTTGCAGTTGAACTGTCAGATTGCAGATTTGGACCTGGTTTATTGTTAATATTTTTGTAATTACTGGGCCTATTCACATAAAACAAAAACTTAAATCCATGAAACAAGTGCTTACTATAAAATCAGTTCTACTATTTAAGATAAGATGAACTACTGTAACTATTAAAACATTTAGCGGCGTTTAACACTGTAGTCAGGTTAACTGGCGTGTTTTAACACTAGAGGGCGCTGTTTGGCCCTGTTTTACAGAGCATACTGTGGACTGTACGCCTACAATGAGGTTTGGAGTAAGTAAGTAAAAGTAGCATACACAAAGCATACAAAAACAATGATGCAAACAATCCAATTAATTATAATAAATAAATAAAAAGAAACAGAATAAAAAGAAACAAGGAATAAAATCAAGCTAAAACCAGTTACAGGAAGGCTAATCGATAAAAATGAGTCTTAAGAAGTGATTTAAAAGATGATACTGATGGTGCGAGCCTTATCTCCTCAGGTAGGTCGTTCAAAGCCGAGGCGCCTAGACTGAAAAGGCTCCATCGTCTTCGTCCAGTGCCTGAACTTTGGAACAGCCACACGGACCTGCCTGAGGATCTGCGGCTGCGGGAGGACTCGTACAAGGTTAAAAGTTCCGGAATATAACTTGGTGCAAGACCTAAACGAGCTTTAAAAGTGATCAGTAAAATCAACAGTGTTGTGCAAGTTCACACTTTTCATGAACTAGTTCAAAGTTCAGTTCACACTTGTTCAAAGTGAATAGTTCACGTTCATAGTTCACAATTTTTATTTTGAACTAGTTCAAAGTTCAGTTCATTTTATATTTAGATGAGATCTGTAAATGAAAGGCTGCATTTATTTTTCAAACTGACTTCTAGTTTACCACAACTTTACAAGATCCACTGTTGGACAAGTGACTTTAAAACTGTAATGTGTTATTTATGACTTGTTACTGTCATTTCAAAGTAATTTGTTACATTACAATATTACTGTATTTAAAATGTAAAACTGTAAACTTTAATTTACTCTCACCAAAAGAACTGTTAAGATGCTGAACTTTTGCGCCGTATATGGACTGAACCAGGACTGAACCAGGACTAAACCAGGACTAAACCAGGTCTAAAACAGGACTGAACCAGAACTGAACCAGAACTGAACCAGGTCCAAACCAGGACTAAACCAGGTCTAAACCAGGACTAAACCAGGTTTAAACCAGGACTGAACCAGAATTGAACCAGGTCTAAACCAGGACTAAACCAAGACTAAACCAGGACCAAACCAGGACTAATCCTAGACTAGAACTTGGAATCTAGGACCGCCCCTGAGAGAACCCCGAGTGCGATCGGGCGTCAGCTGCGTTTATCTCGGTGGAGCGCGGACTTCTGCGTCGGTCCTTTCGCTCAGGATCACGGTCTACGCGGGCGCACCTCCGGCGTTTCACCGCTGCTGATATCGCGGTGAGCAAATTTGCAAATAGCAAATTTGTATGAAGAAAAACGAAAAACCCACCATTTCAATCCAGGTTAAAAAAGCATTGTGACGCGCGTTACTGACATATGTACCACGTAAAATAATACGCGGGTGGAGCAGCACGTCCTGTGCGTGTAGATTTCAGAAAATAGGAGCCATCCTATTTTTTGACGCTCTACACGAGTGTAGGCGCGTATCCCCGTCAAAATACACAGAGAGCATGTATCTATTGTTGTATTTGTGCATTTACCATCAGCACATTGTGCTCCCTGGGCAGTTCTGTATCATGTGAAAGAGCCCAGATCCACATAGACTGTTAATTAGTGCTTTGAAATTTACTTTTGAAATCCTTGCGTTTGCCGTGGTCAGCCTGTACAGAGGTAAATACAAGCAGCTAAACGCGCCCAGTCAAGTTTGATTGACTTCCCATTGAGAGACACAAGAGCCCGTATGTTCCGCTAAAGCTGCCGGTGGAGTCGCCTTCGCGTTGACACGCGGCTGTGGTTTCGCGAGGTGAAGTTCGAGCAGATCGTCACTCGTCAGGTGAAAACAAATTCCGACGTTTAACTGAACCCCAACAGTGACGTACGTCGTTCATCACACATAATTTGAACAAATTCACGTTCAAGTTCTTGATTTACAAGTGTTGCGTTCAGTTCAAAGTTCACTGAAAAATGAACGTGTTCATTGAACGCGTTCTTTTGAACGCGTTCATGCACAACACTGAAAATCAAAAACCGATTTTAAAACATACAGGCAGAATGAAGGGACGTAAAACCAGGTCATGTGTTGGTGTCTGTTAAACCCAGTGAGAAGCCGAGCTGCTGCTTCTGAACCAGTCTGAGGCGGGAGAAGGATTTGGAGTCGAGGCCGGAGAGGAGGGAGGTGCAATAGTCTAGATGAGAGATCAGATCAGGGTGAGAGAAGAAATGTTTGATTTTGCTAATTGTGCTGAGGTTTGTGCAGAATTGGGTGACTTTTTTGATATGAAGGTGGAAGCTGAGGTGAGACTACTACTACTACTACTACTACTACTTCTGCTACTACTACTACTACTTCTACTACTACTACTACTCCTACTACTACTACTCCTGCTACTACTACTGCTGCTGCTGCTGCTGCTGCTGCTGCTACTACTACTACTACTACTACTACTACTACTACTACTACTACTACTACTACTGCTGCTGCTGCTGCTGCTACTACTACTACTACTACTACTACTACTACTACTACTGCTACTTCTACTACTGCTATTACTATTGCTGCTGCTGCTGTTACTTCTACTGCTACTGATACTACTACTATTACTCCTAATTTTAGAAAAGTACTGATTCCTACTATCTTAAAAGCAGATGCTGTAATAGCAGGTAGAGCTGTACTTTATGTAAAAGAACTAACATAATAAATACAAAATTACTATGTTGAAAAAGTACTATGCTTGTTATTTGTAAATTATTTGTGTTTTGATATGAATGGTCTGTGTATGAGTAGTAGTGCAATAGAAGTAAAGATAACATAAGCAGTAGTCATATTTGCATAGGTGAATATGGGGATGGAACTCCTGGTGTATCAAACAGAGCAGTAGGGGGCAGTAGTTGCTCAGTGTTTTCTGTTGTGTTTTCTGTGTGTGAGTGATGGTGGGAAGGGCTGATGGTGCAGATCAGCAGCCTCTCCTCTGTGGGTCTATTCATATTAGTTTAATTGCCCTATATTACACAAAATGGATTCTTGTGAGCTTTTAACCATGTTATAATGTAACAACATTATAACCTAAGCCTCCAAACCTCAAAATGCTCTGTTGCTCAGGGCAAAAATTATCCAAATGATCCTAGTGAAGGTGTATTAAGTTTAAAATACAGTGTGGCACATTCTGTATTAACACATGACATCACAAGGTGGAACAGAGTGTTTTCTGTTTGAGAGAAGAACTAAAAATGCTAAATATGCAGGGTTTGTGCATTAAACATGTGTGAATGAAACAAAAAATGTTTCTGATGTGTAAACAACATTATAAAATACATTAGAAAGTAGCATAACATGAGCCCATTAACAGCTCTAATTTGGTTTAAAATAAGCAAATTTAATTTACCATTAAATATTTACTTTTAATATGATAAAAAATAATAATACAAAATCCCTCAGTGAAACTAAAGACTGTAATCTGAAATGAAAGTGTTCACACAACACATATTTTGTAATAATTTTATTGTCAGTATTTGAACAATACGTTGACACTGTAGTATTGGACCTAGATACAGTACTTTGGTAGTAATATTTGATTAGTAGTAGTACCTAACTTACAGTATTTCAGTTGAAGTACTTAAGCTGTAATTTAGTTGTAGTACTTCATTAGTGGTAGTACTTTAAGTTGCAATAGTAGTAGTTTAACTGCAGTAGAGTTTGTTGATCCGTTTTTTATCCCACATACTCATCTTTTTGGCTAATCCAAACTTGGAGTAACCATTGCATGCCTCCAGCGTCGGACGGCCATTTTTAGAGAAAGCCGTTCTAAAGGAAAATAGAAATACATGTTTTTGAGATTTGTGTGTAGCCCAAAACCATACACAAATCTTGTAGGTTCAGGTCCCCTCATTTATGCCCACAGGTAAGATTGGTTTGCAGCTGGAGTTGACTTCTATACATACATACATACAAGCATGCATGCATACATACATACATACATGCACACACGCGCACGCATACACACACACATACATACACATATACATACATACATACATACCCATGCTAGTAGCAGGTGTAGTAGTAGTGGTTTTAATAGTATTTGTTGTACTAGTATACATACTTTTTATAGTGCATGATTGAGTTGTAGTCATAGGGAGTCCCCTGGTTCAGAGTCTGCACCTTTCGGAAGTTATGCTCCTTCCCTGGAAAAAAAAAAGATCTGAGCCAAGATCCTGGTCAGGAACATAGACTGTATAAAGTGGACTAAGTGAGTGCGTCATCATCCATAGAGTTCGGCTCCAGCCAAATGAGGCTCATCAAGGCCAAATGAAGTTCATCAAGGTCAACAGTTATAGTGTCAAATCTGGGGCAGAGTTCCATATTTGGAATTCCGACCACTAGTTTCATAGCAGAAGAGCCAATCAGGAAAGATGGTGTTGAGTGAGCAGGAGGTTAGCAATACTGTCAGTCAAAGCTGCTGCTCACACTAGTGGTAGTGACCTTGAGGAAATTAGGCATCTGATTTGTCTGTTATTAATGTCCATATCTTGATTTATGGACAAAATAGTACAATTAAAAACCCCAGGATAATTTAGAAAGGGTTAATATGAACATTTTAAGACAAAAATTATGAGGCTCACAGCAACTACGGACAGCGAGTGACAGGTTTTCAATAGAAAGTGAATTGGAGTCAGAAGCACGCCTGTGCTCACTTCCTGTTTGGAACAAGGCGACTAGCTGGCTATGTCCATTTAGAATCTATGGTCAGAATGACACAGATTTGGGCCAGAATCCTAGTCAGGAGGAGCCCTGTGTTGGTTACCTTTGATGATGTTCTTCCAGTTCACCCTGACATATCTGTCTCGGTCGGATCTCTTGTGTTCGTGGTTGAAACCGAGTGCATGGAGGAGCTCATGTTGAATGGTCCCTTTAAAAATACACCCATTTCTCTTCAGAGACAACTTCTGAAGTCCACCACTGCGCCCAATGGAGGACCAGCACCTGCAGCAGAGAGGCGGAGTCAGGAGAGGGTCTAATTTAACACAATCTGACCATAAAGAACTGACATTGCTGGAGCTACACCAGGTGATCTAAATTGTGCTGTTCAACACCTTTAACACAACATTACAGTCACAAGTTAGGTAGGATTAGCCAACATTTCTATCTTAAAACCTTTTGGGCTGTATTTGCTAATATGCACATGGAAACTTCTGAACATTCCACCATATAGGCTGCATGCAGAACACCCCCAGCATCATGTCACTGAAAACTTAATATGTAGTTGAAGTACATACCCGCTAGAGGAGTGGATGCATGGTTAGCTGTAGCAGTATTAGTAATATTAGCAGTTGTAGTATAGCAGTAGTAGTATAGTTTAGTTGTAGTATACCCGTTAGAGCTGTGTATATACAAGAAGTCGTGTTGGTTTCTTCGGGGGATGAATTTGATACAGGAGACCTTAGAGAAATATCTGAAAACCTTTCTTATCTTCTTCAGTTGAGATGAAGCTGCCACAAAACACATGAAAGGGACGAGCAGTAAAAGTATTAGTTGTAGTAGCAGTCATATTATAGTCATATAGTAGTAGTATAATCTACAGTAAGAGTAACAATAGCACTCACAGTGGTATTAGTAGTAGTATTATTACTCACAGTAGTGGCGTGCGATTACATAGGGCACGTACACCTTTCCGTTTGGATGTCGTGGCCACTTACAACCTTTCCTCACACACAGATGTGCATTCCTTTTCTGGACCCGAGACATGGGCACTGCAATGTCCCCGTCCTCCAGGAGATGGTCCCCATCATGATCTGAACACAACAGCAACAGAGTAAACCAGGACTGAATCAGGACCAAACTAAACCAGAACTAAAACAGGACTAAACCAAAACTAAACCAGAGCTAAACCACAGCTAAACCAGGACTAAACCAGGACTAAACCAGAGCTAAACCAGGATTAAACCAGAGTTAAACCAGAGCTAAACCAGGGCTAAACCAGGACTAAACCAGAGCTAAACCACAGCTAAACCAGGAATAAACCAGAGCTAAACCAGAACTAAACGAGGGCCAGACAAGGACTAAGCCCGGACTAAACCAGAATCAAACCAGGACTAAACCAGGATTAAACCAGAGCTAAACCAGAGCTTGTGTCATACTGATCAAAAAAATCTATGGGACCCATGTTGTATTTTACATGATGTTGCCATGGCGATGAAGCACATTAGCTCTTCCAATGCCACATAATGTCCAATACCAGCTTTAATTTGCATTGGTTTTCCCCTAAACATTCACATTATTTAGTGCTTAGTTTGAGTGTTCTGACCCAGGTCCTTGTTGACTCGCTCCAGTTGCTCAGACACGCTCAGAATGTCTTCCTCTTCCTCCTCTGGCTCCTTCTCTTCCTCCTTCCCCTTCCCCTTCTCCTCCTCTTCCTCCTCTCCCACCTCCTCTCCATCCTCTTCCTCTTTAGGTCTCATGCCTCCTCCCTCCACCTCCTCCTCTTGGATGTCTTCCTTCAGGTGAGCTGTGTCCGGATCCACGTCTGAAAGTGAAAGCAAAAAAATTTCTTGTCCAGTTGACAGAATTACATTTACTTTTGAAAGCAGATTAAGTTACGCTGTCTCTATTTCAGCATCACCTAGAGGCAGCAGCAGCAGCAACAGCAGTAGTAGTAGTATCTGTAGGATTACCGGTAGCAGTAATAATTAGTGCTGTCATGCGATTAAAAAAATTGAGAGATTAATTAATTATGATCTGTAATTAATTAATCTAATTAATCTCATTTTAATCTCACCTAAAAATTGCTGAGAAAATCCTTCAATTTGAGATATTTTCATTTAAATTCATTATTACATTATTGTGGCAGATCAAAACACTGATACAGAACAAAAAAAAGTGACTTTATCAAGTCATTTATTGTTTAACAAATCTCTCCAAAATGGCTGTTGAGCCCAAGTCTCCATGAATAAGAAACTGTTTGTTGTAAAGTAGCAAAGACGAGGAAATCTGAACATAATAACTTTTGTCTACTTAAAGACAATAATAAGTCCAGTCTTTCCTTAACCATATTAAAAATATTATTGATAGAGAAATGCTTTATATATGAGATCACTGGTTTTTGTCCTGGTTTAGACCTGGTTTAGACCTGCTTTAGTCCTAGTTTAGTCCTGGAATGGATTAATCCTGGTTTTAGTCCTGGTGTTAGTCCTAGTGTTAGTCCTGGTTTAGACCTGGTTTTAGTTCTGGTTTTAGTCCTGGTTTTAGTCCTGGTTTAGTCCTGGTTTAGACCTGGTTTTAGTTCTGGTTTTAGTCCTGGTTTAGTCCTGGTTTAGACCTGGTTTAGACCTGGTTTAGACCTGGTTTTAGTTCTGGTTTAGACCTGGTTTAGACCTGGTTTAGACCTGGTTTAGTCCTGGTTTAGACCTGGTTTAAGTCTTGGTGTTAGTTCTGGTTTAGAGGCTCACAGGAGGAAGCGCGGTTTACGCCGCGTACGCGAGAAAACACTATCCACACGCGGCTCACGGGAGCACGTCGGTGTCCGCGCAGTAACTACAGAAGGAAACGTGGTCCGCGCGTTCTCAGGTTACTGACGATGATGAAGGTTTGTTTGTGTGTGTTTGTTTGTGTGCGTGTCCCCTCATGTGGCAGGTCACTATAGGACAGTAGTGCAGAGATCATGAGCCTATGCAGGTTGTTTTCAGGCGATATTATATTTGTTATTTTCTTTTATATTTCACGTCGGGAGAATAATTTCCAAGACAGGAATGTGTTTTTACCTGTGCGCTGCTGCCTCTGTTCTACTGGCTCTTTGACCTCGTCCATTGTGCGACTGATGCCGCCAACGTTAAAATGACGTTTACTTACGCTGTTACTGCGCGCGTTTTGTGTGGGTTTCCGGCAATGAGTGGAATTACCGAAATAAAAAAATGTATAAATGTGTTTTGTGTGTGTGTGTGTTGTTGTCCCAACAACACATAAAAACAGGTTTTATAATAAAGAAACTCACATACAGAAACACTAAAGTTAGAGATTAAAAATGAGATTAACGCGATTAAAAAACATAACGCGCTAAATATGACTGTAATTAATTAATCGCAATTAACGCGATAATTTGACACCCCTAGTAATAATATCTGTTGTTGTTGTTGGAGTAATAGTAGTAATAGCAATCATTTCTGTTTTCGTTGTAGTTAGTTGTAGACGTTAGTAGTTAGTTAGTTAGCAGTAGCAGCAGTACACAGACCTAAGATGGTCTGGTCCAGTGATTCTGGGATATTTTCTTCTCGTAAATCAGCTCCAAAGTCCTGCGCACAGAGACGAAAAGTGTTTAAAACATCATACATTTAAGTCTGAACCTCATATGTGCAGACCATAGACTGTATACAAACAGGCTACACTTATACGCGGGGCAGCAGGAAAACAGGACTCACCTCACACTTGGCCCAAACTGAGGCAAACAGCAGGACTGCCACTCCCAACATGCATCTCACCAGCGCCATGGCAACTGCAAAACATATATAATCATGTTATTTTTACTGTTACATTATGTACTTTATTACAGCTGTACTAAATAAGATCTAAACCTGATGTACAGCAGGTCTAACCAAAGACGAAACCAGGATCAGATCTAAATCTGATTTACAGCAGGTTTAATTTAAACTAAGACAGGACTAAACCAGAACTAAACCAGGATTAACCCAGGACAAATCCAGGATTTAACCAGCAGGTCTAACCTCAGACTAAACCAGGAACAAACCAGGTCTAATCCAGATTTAAACCAAGCCTAACCAGGTCTTCCCCTCACCTGTTCTTGCAGCTCTGTGATGGCTCTTGGGTGGATTCTTCTTTTAAACCCAACAAAGTGAAACCTCGAAACCTTGTTTACTCAGTTTTAAGATGTCTACCGGCGACACGTTTCTGATGATCATGATTCTGAAGTTTGTTTAAATTATTTGTTTAAGTTTTGAGTTTCCAACCTTACCAAAACATGATCCATGTTTATTCAGGATACATACTGTATTTTGTCTGCATTCTGTAATCAACTACTCACATGCAACATGAAGTACAGGAACTGGTACCGTAGCACTAGTAGTGTAGTAATAGTAGTTAAAATGAGTGGAAGTACAATTGTGATCAAAAGTGTGGTAAATACAACACTTCCGGGACCAAGCCAAGACTGAACCAGGACTAATACAAGACTAGTCCTGTCTTAATACTTGTTCAGTCCTGGTTTAGTCCTGTTCTAGACATGGTTTAGTTCTGGTTTTAACTTGGTTCTGTTCTGGTTTAGTTCTGGTTACTCCTACTTCTGGTTTAGTCCTGCTTTAGTCCTTGGTTCAGTCCTGGTTTTGACCTGGTTCAGTCCTGGTACAGTTCTAGTTTACCCCCGGTTCAGTCCCGGTTCAGTCCTGGTTCAGTCCTGGTTCAGTCCTGGTCTAGTAGCTGTGGTCTGGAGTTAGACAAATAGATAAACACAGAGGTATCAGATTAAACAATGACACAGAAGCAGTTCATCTTAAATGAATCTTTTCCTCAAGAAGTTACTGACTCCACTCCATCTTTAACCAGAACTAGACCAAGACTGAACCAGGACTAGACCAAGACTGAATCAGGTCTTAGAGCGGAGTTTTCCCATGATGGTAAAGCTAACAACAACTAGCATGCAAACACTCACTTCCTGATTATTGGACAATAAACTAGATGCATAATAGATGCAGACAGTACACAGCAGTTTTATTTTGACCTGCTTATACAATATATCTGTAGTATCTGTATTTGTGGGCAAGACACATTTTGCCTACACATTTGTTTTAAAGGGCCCATATTACACTGCTTTTTGATCTCTATTATAAGATTGTTTCCTCATTAAAAACATATCCGGTGTTGTGTTTTGTTTCATTCACATATGTTTAACACACAAACCCTGCATATTTAGGCAAAGTTCTTCTCTCAAACAAAAAAATATCCTGTTCTACCTTGTGACGTCATGCCAGTGTGTTTTGAAACTCTATACACTTTCACTAGAATAATTTGGATTATTTCAGATCTGGAATTGCCAATCTCTACCAAATGAAAGGTAAAAGGTAGCTCATAACTTGAAAACTACCACTACATGACATCACAAGGTGGAACAGAGCTTTTTGGAGATGTAGAGAGAATAATAATAAATTATTACTCAAACTTGTGCAAATGAAACAAAACACAAATCCAGGTATGTTTTAGATGAGGTAAAACATATTTATCATATATTTCTTTATTTCTCTTTGATTGTCCAGTGTGTTCTGTGGTGTGAAGAGTCAAAGATGAGCCTCTCCCTTCCTCATCCTGATCATAAACCAGACCATAAACCAGACAGGACACTGTGAACATCTTGGTGTGGGCAGCAGCTCATCCTTTACCTCTGACCCCTCGTTAACACCACGTTGCGCTCTGATTGGACAAGAGGAAACTGCACCCGTGAACGGGAAGAAGAGATCAAGGTTTAGAGTCTGGTCTGAATCCAACAAAGTGAAGATACAATGACAGAGAGGAGTCTAACCCACAACCTCCTTACAAATAGGAGGAGACAGGGTAACTGCTAACACAATAACATATTTTCTAGTCTTGTTTCTTCTTTAGAAAGCTTTTGAATGCATAATGTTTACACTCAACCAGGATTAAAAAGGGACTGAAACAGGGCCAGACTTGGACTAAACCAAATCTAAACAGGGACTGCCCCAGGACTAAACCATGACGGAAACAGGTGGATGGAAGCAGGTCTCAACAGGGGCTAAACAGAGACCTGACCAGGATAAAGCCTGGACTAAATCTAATATTCTTCTGTCATTTGTGAACAGTAGTAAGTGGAGTGTGGAGGGATTTGGGAGCAGTTCCTGGTTCAGACCAGGACTGAACCAGGAGTAAAACATGACTAAACAAGGACTAAACCAGGGCTAAACCAGGACTTAAACAGGACTAAACCAGATCTAAACTGGGACTAGACCAGGTCTAGACCAGGACTAAACCAGGACTATACCAGAATTAAATCAAGACTAGACCGGGACTAAATCAGGACTAAACCAGCACTAAACCAGGACTAAACCAGGACTAGTCCAGGACTAAACCAGGACCAGACCAGGACTAGACCAGGATTAAACTAGGACTAAACCAGAACTAGACCATCTGGACTGGAGGTATTTGGGAGAGTTCCTGGTTCAGTTCCTGGTTCAGATCTGGACTGAACCGAAACAATGGACCAGGAAACAAGAGTGAGTCCCACTTCCTGCTAATCTCTTGCAACGGACATCTCTCACACTTAGAGACAGTCCTGGGTTAGTCCTGCTCTAGACCTGGTCTGGTTCTGGTTTAGTTCTGCTCTAGTCCTGGTTTAGTCCTGGTTTAGTTCTGGTCTAGTCCTGGTCGAGTCCACATCAGCTTTCTCTAAACATGGACATACACTGGAGGACCTTGGTTCTACTTCTCACCTCTTGTTCTGTCTGTGAGTGATTCATTTTCATATTGTTCAGTTTCTCAGTTTTTTAATGTGTGCTTTTTATTTAAAATAATCAGAAGGATAAGGTGTTTAGTTAAAAGTTTGAAATAAGAGCATTTTAAAATAGTATTACTCAATTACAAGGAAAAAAGTAATGAGTCACATTTGAAATTAGAGTAAAGACAAATACTTCTTTTTAATCTATGGATTGCATTACTGTGTTGTTTTAATCATAACATGGATATGGATATCAAAATTATCTATTGAATCAAATGACAAAACAAACACTGCAGTGATGAGGGATTTTGCAGACTTTCACTAATTATAATTTAGATTTAAACAGTTAAATCTGCCATGATGCATATCATTTGAACATAACATATTCAAATATATATATTTATATTTTAGTTTATATGGTCTGATGTGCACACTGTCTTCGTGTTCTTGGGCAACACATCTCATAGTCTAGTATTGTTGTTGCAACATATATACTATACAGATAAAGTTGGATTGGGCTAAATAACACTGGGGCACCAGTGACAAAAACTATTGTCGTGGCCTTTGGCAAGACACTTCACCCACATTGCCTAGTATGAATGTGGTGTTAGTGAGTGTTGATGGTGGTCGGAGGCGTCGATGGTGCAGATAGACAGCCTCACTTCTGTCAGTCTGCCCAGTCTAATGCATTTTATTATTATGAGTGGAGTTAATGGTTGTAGCAGTGGTAGTAGTAGTAGTCATAGTAGTAGTATTAGTAGTAGAAGTAGTAGTAGTATGGCAGAAGCAGCAATAGTAGTAGTAATGGTGCAGTACCCTCAGTTTCCATGTGGTTTCCTTTCTCCTGTTTAAGTGTAATTCTTGGTTAGTATTGGCTATAGAACACAAAGCAGATAAGACTTTTTATCATAATAAATTTTCATTTTTATCCAAGATGCGTCTTCCACAACCACATTCTGTCCTTCAGTCAGAGACACAGGAAAAACCTGTTAACGACATCATCAATCCAAACAGGAAGTACGTCAGCAGTGTACTTCCTGTCAGAACTGAAGATCCAACCAGGATCCGGGTCTAAAACCAGGACTTTGGACCAAACCAGAACTTTGGTCTAAACCAGGACTGGACTGTGACACTCAAAATTCCAGTGCAGTGGTCTTATACTTTATGTAGGATTGCACTGGGGCTATGGTCCTATACATATCCACACAGGTCTGAAAAATTTGGCGAAAATATTTAGTTAAATTTTTTCTAACAACTATACAAGTGTGATTAAATTTGTCTTTTATATTTTAAAAATATAAATCAGTTTGGAGGTCACTGTTTAAACCCCTCCAGGGGCATTCACAACTGAAAGAGACTGAAATCTGAACTTTAAACTAATCAAGAATCCCATGCATTTTAGAACATGTTTATAGAGATCTAAGCAACAGGGTTAGCAGCTTTCAAACAGAATAAGATCTCATGGACACACATTAAAGGATGGCATCTGACGTAGTGTATAGTTTTCTGACATATATTTCTTCTTCTTTTACAGACTCCTCTTTTACTCAACGACCTCTTCTTTCCTCCGCAACCAAAGACATTTCTGCAACAAATTTAAACCAATTCTTCACCCAAACCTCGCATAATACCACAGAAAATCTCAAAAAATCACCACAACAAACAGGAACTAACAGAGAAGACACATCTAGAAACACGGAACTTCCTGTTTTCACTGACAGCGGCCATTTTGGATCTGCCACTCAGCCAGTTTCCACCTCCTTTCCTAATTTTTCCGAACATTCAACCAAAGGAGAGAAACCAGCAAGGTTTGAATGGAAAATGGACTTGGATAAAACTTCAACAGAGCCAAATGATTCAACATCTGCAGCAAATTTAGTTGAAAATGCTGACATTTCACACAATTCTACAAAATTTACAACTGAGAATACTACCAGTTTTGATTCAGAAGCCATCTCAGTATCAAGTAACAGTACAATATTTACTAGCGCAACTTTAGCTAATAATTTTGAATCAGATACAACTATTGTAAGCAGCACAGAAAGTAGAAAGTTTTTGAATGAAGAAACAGATACAAATGATTTTGAAACTACAGAAATTCTTACTACAGATAATTTTCAAACTTCAGCATTGGAAAACAAAATTGAATTATCCAGATTCACAAGTGACACTAGCATACCTAATATTAGCACTTATTTAAATGAAGAAAATGATAAAAACATGAGCAATGACTGGACAACGCAAACTACAGATCATTTTAAAGCTTCTACTGAAAATGAAATGATTTCTACTTTTGAAACAACCAATTTTAAAACAGATTGGCCAATGATTCAAGATTCCACTGTTGGTACCGAAGTCGCAAATAGTGCCAAAAATTCAACGGAAAAAACTACAACAGCTAATCCAACTATGATAGTTTATTCAACTACATTAGCTAATTCAACTACCACAGATAATTCGACTACTACAGCAAATCCAACTACAGCGGTTAATTCTATTACATTAGCTAATCCAACTACCACAAATAATCCAACTATGTCAGATAATTCAACTACATTAGCTAATCCAACTACTACTGCTAATCCAACTACCACATCTAATCCAAATACCACAGCTAATCTAATTATACCAGATAATCCAACTACAATAGCTACTCCAACTACCAAAAATAATCCAACTACCACATCTTATCCAATTATGCCAACTATTACAAACAAACCAGCTGTGATTCCAAATCTGTCTACGATTTCTCATTTTTCAACTCCTGCAGCATCAACTACTCACATAGTAACAACGTTAAAATCTTCAGAAACAACTAAATCTAGCACCAAAGAACCCACAATGCCTTCTACACTCGAAAATACCATAACTACACCTGCGTTTAGCTCAACAAAAGCTTGGACCAGCGTGGCTCAAAATACGACAAAGGGAGAAGAGCTAAAAACTACAAAAATGGCAACTACAACAGCAGTGACGACAACAGCAGTGACGACAACAGCGCCCCCTGTGAGTATAAATGGTTAAATTGTTAAAGATACAGAAGTAACTTGTCTCTATGTAGGTGTTCTAGCTAATCTTAGATTGTTTCACAGTATGGCATTAAAATGGTATATCTCCATGGAAACAGCTGATGGTAGCTGATGGCATCAGGTAAAATTACAGGCCAGATCTGTGGCGAGTGAGAATGCATGTTTTTCAAGGTAAAGCAGTAATTGAATACAAGCAAGTATAATGTGGAAAATATAAAACTAAAACTGTATCCATGGAAACAAGATATTGGCAGCCTTGTCAACAGAAAAGTTACATATTGCATCTTTACTGCCAGTCCTGTTTACAGTAAAAGCATGTGGTTTGGAGCAGATGCAAGATTTTGGAGAAGGAACTATTTTAAGTCTTCAGGAAAGTCATGTTCAGGAAATTAATATTGAAAGCCATTTTTAGTTACATTTTTATTTTTTATCAAATTGCTAATTGAGGTAATATAATGCCAAATTTCCCCCCCTTATCTGCATTGTGTATTTCTGTCACACATTGTTTATATTTCTGTGTATGCTGTTTCTCTGTTTTTAGTTTTTTGCTTTATTTCTCGGTACTGACTTTCTGCAAACCAGTATTTTTATTTTGAGATAAATATAAACTTCTTTGAAAAGAAGAAGAAATGCTGTGCTTGGTCTGGTCCGGCTAAAATGTCCTTGGTATTTGGATGTTGCAACAGAACTAAGAAAATCTATGTATTTATTAAGCTTTTTTAAAGTCACAGCAAAAAAAGTATAATTTTCTTGTTTTTATTGCACTGAAAAACACTGAAAGTTGCAGACTGTATCTTCAGTTTAGATTTAGCTACTTCATGGGAACTTTATCAGCGAATCAAGGGTCAAACATATAGACAGTTTTCATATGTTTTTTTCCAAAGAGGTTTAGGATGAAATTAACATTGCATTTTTGGAACGAAACTGGATTGTGACAGTCCTTTCCTGCAAAATTCTTAAAATTTCCAAAATCATCACCTCATTGGCCAAATGAGATCCTCTAGACTGGGCCTTAGAGAGCATTTGACAGATTAAAATACTTTTCTAATTATGACTTGGCTTGGTGGAATAGTATCTAATAAATACATACCATAGTTTTACATCAATTAAGTGGCAGTTTATGGAAAAAATAAATAAAAATTAGAAAACAAAACTTACAAAATATACAGGATGTAGTGCTTTGTCTCTGTCATCAACACAGAAGCAGAGACTATTTACACACAAGGAAGGCATTTTTCTGACAGTTTAAACACTGACTTTACAAAATAAAGCTGTTGTCATTTACTTGCATTAGTCTAATCAAATCTGTGGTGTAATTTAGACAGGTTTTGGTCCTTGTTTACATTATGGTTGCTATTTAACATTACCTCTGTGTATGTCACATTTGCCAGTGTCCAACCAGAATGTAAAATTATAAACATCACAAAAATTACAAAACTAGAAAAATATGTCAGACTTTTAATAAAATCTTAAATACAATTATGTGAACTATGTTTTAGAGAAGTGAATCTAACTTGTCATAAACACTTTAAATAAACTAATCTACTGAAGAATTCTTTGACCACAATGTTGATTATTTGATTAATTATTATTAGTTATTACTTGAGAGTTTAATCTGCCTTTTCATGCTGTTTGCTCATATTTCTCTGTGTATATAGTAATTAATTTTAGTAATTAACTGCATTTGGCCCATTCTTCAGTGCCTCTGTGTTAAACCTGCATTTGATCCATCCTTCATGAGCAGTGGGATGTATCTCTAGATCTTGAGCTACTCTTGGTCAGGACCTTAGCTGGAAGATTTGACCTATTGTGCCTGTTTTGATGGAGGAAACAAATGTGCTTGGAGGTAACCCACCCAGACACAGGGAGAACATGTAAACTGGTTCCACAAACTTGTCATATTTAATCTTATGTCTTATAGTCCTTTCAATTGAGAACAGTCATGTCTTTGGGGGTGAATAATGGCACCACTTTCTGAAGGTATTGTGAAATCATTTCACTTTTGTTTATGTGTACTGACAGAGAAGATGTTGAACTTTGTGCCAATTTTGTTTCATGTGGACAGGCCCAGTAATTATAGAGATATGAACCATAAACCAGGTCAACAAATCTGCAATCTGACAGTTACACAGCAAATTCCACAATAGACTTGTTCTCTAGCTCTGTTTAAACTATAGGAACTGTGCAAATGTGTGATCTAGGTGAACACAACCTATGGTAAAACTGAGGTTCTTAGATAGATTAGTCTATATTTAGGTAACCCCTTGCTCTCCTGCGGGGGCACTCTCACTGAAAACTGAACAATGCTTTATTTTGGCTTGGTCTGATTGCGAGGACTTTAACTTGGAGGTCAGAGGAAGGAAAGGGAGGGGGGGGGGGGGAAGAGGGGAGGGAGGGGGGAGGAAGCGAGGGTCCGGCGGTCTGGAGACTGGGCACAACAGGTCGGTCCAACTGAGAGGAATATAAGAGGAGAATACTGGGAAAGAATCAAAATGTCCGACCATTTTTGAACACAAAGGACTAATTTTTAACACCATCAAAGGTATTTTAAAACTTCATTGCCAAAGGATCTTGTAAATATTTGTGGAATAACTCATGGTGGAAAGATTCAATTTTTCATTTTTAGATTTTCACCTGCTACAAGAGAGGACGTGCTTGCAAAATATTATCTTTTGCAGATTTAAAGCTGGATTACAAGAAGACAATAAAAACCTTAGTGAAATCAATTTATAACTTATTTTAATGGTATAATGGCAATTTATGATGACTATTCTTTAAACTTGACATGGATGGAAAGACTCAAAATGTCTGACTGCTTTGGAGATTCCAGGATTTGACTGAAAATTTGCTTTAGAAAAAAAATCTCACTGGAGTTTTTACAATTGGACAGAAGAAGATGTGATTTTTTTTTTAATGGAGCCATTTATTTCACAATTTATTTTAAGGATTATTCAAGATGGACACCAGCCTTTTTTTCTCACTCAAATTACGTCCAGTTTTTGGAGATGTTACGTTTTGAACATTTTAAACTGTCAGATCCTCAGAGATGCTGAAATGCTCCTTTTGCTTTTTCTCTCTGTTCTGGGGCTCCATTTGGCAACAGGTAAAACACAAAGATGTTTTCTAAGCCACAACAGTTTGTTTATTTTAGGCTCATATGATACGTCCAGGTAGGGTTAGACTACTATTGAAGCTATACTCAGATGCCCTATCTGATACATTCATCTCCCTGAATGGGTGTTTCACAGATTTTTTTATTTACATTTTTTTTTTTAGGATTTTTCCCGTTTTGTTTCGCTCATCTAGTTACAGCTCAAGGATGCGTCAAATACAGGTTTAACCCAGAGACACTGAGGGATGGGTCACATGCATGTTTAACACTGAAATATGGGTTATATTCTTTCTTTATAGTAACTGAACAAACCCTGACCTCCTGTGATTCCAGATCCTGACCACCAGAGCAGTGCCCTGCTCCTCAAACCTCACTGTGATCTACAGTGAGACTGAGTCAGGCCTGGTCCAGATCCAGTCTGAGTCCGGGTCCAGTCTCTGTAACTTCACCATTTTCACCAGCCCAGAAGGTGGACCAGAGGAGAACCACAGCCGGGGGCATAGTTGTGAGTTGTACCCAGACCTCTCTCACCTCCCTTTGGGCTCTAAAACCTCTGGGTTCTCTGGAGGAGCCTCTGGAGCCCTGTACCGCTGCCTCCTTGCTGGGCTGGAACCTGGAACGCTGTACAATCTGGCAGTGGTGTCGGGGAAGGATGGTGAGAGGAGCAGAGGACAGCTGCAGACTGGTGAGTTAAAGTGGGGTTATTTAATGATTTTTTGGGCTTTCTACTGAAAGGTCAGTAACCCTCTTAAACCCATTGTATCCCTGATCCAGTCCCGGTTGCAGTGTCAAACCTCAGACTCGACTCAAATGGCAACTGTGACTCTTTGCGCGTGTCCTGGGAGCATCCTGCAGGGGGAGTAGAGAGTTATGAGCTCACACTGTCTGCACTGGGCACACACTCTCAGGTGAAGAAGCTCGTCCCCCCTAATGATGGCACCGATGACAGGATCACTCGGGCGCAGTTCAACGGTTTGGTCCCAGGACGAGTTTACAAGCTGAGAGTCCGAACGCGAGCGGGAGACCAGAGTAACGAGACCAGCACCACAGGACAGACAGGTAAGAGACAGGAGCACAGACAGGTGAGTGGACAGGAGAACGAGAGGAGACAGACAGGTGAGGGGACAGGTGAGGGACAGGAGTATTGTAATTTGATTTGTTTGTTTATAAAAGTGTTACTCAATCTGTGCAAGTGTTATTTGATTTTTGCAGTCATTATTTAAAGCATTCTGCAAAATCAATCTTTCAACGGTTTTAAACATGTTAAAGTAGTTTCCTTCGCATTGACCTCTGAAATTGTATTTAGAGTGAGTCATGCATGTTTGAGTAATCTTTATTCTTCTTTATTCAAGACAGCAGTGCTCAGATCTACCCCTGTTTTCACTACCACTAGTGCACACCCAGTGCACGCTGCACTTTCTTTTGTTTCATTTAGACTATTTTAGATGAATATTGTGTCTAAATTCTAACATAATGATCCATTGGACTCAAAGATTATAACTATATAGCAGACATAAGTGCAATATGTCTTCTAACATGGTTAATGTAAATTTGGTAAATGACTCAAATTTGACATGACATAGCGAGTTTGTTTTGGTTTGTTTGCACGGACACCTTTGGCTCCACGCAAACCACAGTGCTGCTCTATGATTGGTCAAATTGCCCTGATTTCTCTCTCTCTCTCTCTCTCTCTCTCTCTCTCTCTCTCTCTGTCTCTCTCTCTCTCTCTCTCTCTCTCTCTCTCTCTCTCTCTCTCTCTCTTCTCTCTCCTCTCTCTCTCTCTCTCTCTCTCTCTCTCTCTCTCTCTCTCTCTCTCTCTCTCTCTCTCTCTCTCTCTCTCGTCTCAGTCCCAGAGCCGGTGTCCTCCCTGTCTCTCTCTCCTGTGGATGGAGGTCTGCTGCTGCGCTGGACTCCTCCTGGTGGAGACTGGCAGCACTACAGCGTGTCTCTGTGGAATGCTTCGTCTCTTTTGGTGAATGAGACTGTGACGAAGCTCTCCACTCAGCACCTCTTCTCCACCTCCAAGATCCGCCTACGACCAGGAAGAACCTACAGGGCAAAGGTCACAGTGCACAGCGGCATTCTGGGAAACACACAAGAATGCTTCGGACAAACAGGTGCAATATGCCCTCGTGATCTAATAAAATGGTATATTAGCTGAAAGCAAAGTATTAATATATTTCATAAGTTTCACTTTCGGTTTTGATGCTCCGAGTCCCCCCTCCCTTTGCTCTATTCCAGTGTCTTTCTGAAACTCCTCCCTCTCTTCTCTCTCTCCTCCATATCTGTATATTCATATCTCTCCTTACCCCCCTCTATCTCTCACCTTTTCCATATTCATCTTTTCTTCTCTCTGCTACCCCCCTGCTCCGCTTCAGTCTCTGTTTGCCACAGTAATTTCTTCTTCACTCTCTCGTCTCTCTCTGTCTCTTTCTTACCTCCCTCTACTTCCATACATACTTATCTTTTCCCCTCTGTCTCTCAGTTCCTGCTCCGGTCCAGTCTCTCTCCATTCGTCACAGCGGAGAAACGTCTCTGAGCGCCTCATGGAGTCGTCCTGATGGAGAGTGGGACCTCCTCACTGCTGTACTGTCACAGGTTTGAATACTCAACAAAATACAACAAATAAACTAATAGAGAGAAAAGAGGAAATACTATTGGTTTACACCTTAAAATAGTTAAATGAATTGATAACAGATACAGCAAACCACTGGGGTGTGTTAGCTCCTCCCTTCAGACAGATATAAGGCAGTGTCTTACAGAACCCTGTCAGAACTAAACCTTGATTAATTTGATTAATCTCCCTGCTCTAATAATGTACCCTCCCTCCTTCAGAAAAGTTACACACCTTTAATAGTGTATTCAGGTTAACATGTAAAGTCTATGAGGCTGCACATCTAGGCTCCAGCTAGAGGGGATTGATGTGACTTATAGAGTTGCAAAGTCTAATATGATAGTTTGTTGGAATTATGACAATGTATATGACAAAGTATATGACGATGATGATTATTTGACCCTGATGCCGTCCCATACAGTTGAGTTGCTGATTGGCGGTGATGTTTTGTTCTAGGGAGGTGTTGTAGTTTCAGAGAAGACCCTCCCTCCAGACACCTCCTCTGTCTTCTTCAGCTCTCTGACCCCAGGACAGGCCTACGTAGTTTCTGTGATCACCACCAGGGGAAACCAGAGCCACTCTGTCAATGTGTCTGCTAGAACAGGTCTGTCAGCTACTAAAGACTGTAACATTGTAATAGTATACACAACCAGACTCTTATCTCTGCTACATCTCCTACATCTCTGCTACAACAGGTCAGGCTAACTAAAGTCCATAAAATTATAATTGATGCTTTGATAACTGATCATTGTGACATTGCACTGGGGGTGTTCTATATGAATGTCTGTGGTGGAATGCTCAGCACAATGCAGATGTTTCAGAAAACATTTGCATTGTTCAAAACATTTTTTATGACAGTCTGAAAGCTCAAGAAAAGGTACAAAATTAATTTACACATTTTCAACAAGACTTTGAAAATGGCTAAAGGAAAACCTGTTGAATAATAAATAATAAAGCTTGTGACTGTGATATTATTTGAGAGGGACTTGTTTAACAGCACAAGTCAGCTCACCTGTTGTAGTTCCAACTAATTCAGTTCTTGGTCACATTAAAAGTCTAGCTTCTGACAGAGTAGTGCCTGTTGACCTGGTTTATGGTTAATATCCCTGTAATTACTGGCCTTATCCACATGAAACAAAAACTGGCACAAGTTCAGTGTCTTCTCTATGAATATAAATAAACTAAAGTGAATAGTTTATACAATAGCTTCAGAATGTGGTGCCATTATTCAACCCCAAAGATGTAATTGTTGTCAGTTGAAATTACTCACAATTAATTACAAGATTTATATGACAAGTTTGTGGAGCCACTCCCAAACAAATAATGAGAAGGTTCGACATTTGTGGATCATAAATTTGGAGGTTTCTTTCAGAAACAGTAAAATTGCTATGGAGATATATAAACCCCTTCTGTCCATCATATTCTACAAGGTTGTCATTATAACTTTTCCTCTCTCTCTGTCCCCAGCTCCAGCGCAGGTGTCCTCCCTCCTCCTGTCAAATGAGGGCAGCACTGAGTCTCTGCTGGCCCAGTGGGAGGCACCTTTGGGGGGTGTGGACTGGTACCAGGTGCTTCTGGTGCAGGACAGCACCATCATCAAAAATCAGACCGTCCCCTTTAACACCACGAAGCTCAGGTTCACCGGACTGAGGCCTGGAGCAGAGTACAGAGCTGTGCTGACGGCTGTGAGGGACGGGAGGGAGGGCAGGCAGAGCGTGGGGGAGGGGCGGACAGGTGAGTGACCACACCTGAAGGGAGGAAAGGGAGGACAGAGGGAAAAAGTGGGAGGAGGTGAGCAGGGTACAGAGCAGTGTTGACAGCTGTGGAGGTGAGGGGATACTCTTAAAAACACTATGGAGTACTGCTAAAGCAGGTGCGGATGGCTCACGTTAAGGTCTTGCGCTCTTTGCTGGTTCAAACCAAAAAAGTGGACTAAGGGATTGTGATGTCACCCACAGAGTTTGACCTTAGTCAAATGAAGCTCATTGAGTATCAATTATAGGAGCAAATTTGGAGCCAGATCAGATGCTCAGATCGGCCTAATGATTAGAAGTATCATTCAGATACAAATTAGATTTGATTCATTTGAAAACATTAGTTATATTTGGGTGATGCCAGTGTCTCATGTAGCATACCCTTTGTAAATTGAGGAAGCTAGTCATTTTTTTTAAATAATCTGGCATGCAGTGGGTGAATAATAAATCTTATATTGTTAGTAGAGATGAGTTCCACAGCTGCTTCAGTTCTTGGAAACCTTTATTGTTGGTTATATAAGCGATGATAAACAAAGGGACAAACCATTGTGACCTGAGACAAACGGAGGATGTATCTGCTCTTATCTGATTGGACGACGCTGGAATGTACAGGAAGCACTCGAACGCACTACAACAGCTCGTCCACACACTTCCTGTTTGGACAGGAAGTGGAAATACTCACCAAGAGGAATGAAAGTTTAAAGAAATGGGCCATGAAGAGTCAAGGAAGTTTTTCTTAAAACCATGAAAGCAAGTTCATGTTTAACGGTTTGCAAGTAGTACACAGTTATTCCTCACTTACCTTATGCATTCTGAGCATCCTAATTATGCTTCTCAATGCTTTTCACAGCTCTCAGAGCTGCCTTCAAAGTAAAATTAATAACAAGTGGTATGCTAACATTGCATTTCCTGATTATTGATCAATAAAAATCTTTATAATTAGATGCAGACAGAACACAGCAGCCTCAAGAGCTGCATAGCATATGCAATGGGTGTTTCCCATTTGCCAAGATCTTCAGCTTCTTAGCCACTTCAGATAGATCCATGTCGTCAGAACTCCACCAAGTGGTGTTCCAATTCGACTCCTCGTTTAGCTTTTAGGATTAGTTTAGGATTTATGGGTGGATCCTTAGCCAAATGCTTGAAAGTGCCCACAATGCACTGCAACAATTTTTAATGAACTTTATTTAAACAGTTATATGCATTTTAATTAAATAACAATAATAATAATAATAATAATATTTTAGCCACATTGCAGCAAATTACACTGTTGACAGATCGAATTAATTAAAATCAGAATGAATGCAGCAATAATCTTTTAAAGAAGGAGAGTGGGAATACAATTAGCCTAAAATGTTTCAGCCTTTGTATTTATTTATGTAGGCTAACCTAGACATTTCAGTAACAGATGATTCACTCAGCCTTTATTATTCACATGTTTTAATGCATCTTGACACATAAAAACACAGCTGAACACTTTATATTTGTAGAAGCATTGATGTTTATTAAAACTCAGAGTTTTATTGCGTTTGATTTAGTTACGTGACACGGCACAGTTGCTCCCTGTGGAGCCTGTTCCAGGTGCACTCCCTGAAGCTGTGAGCACTTGGCCCTGCTTCAGAGGACCTGACTCTGGAAGAGTGCTACAAACTGGTCAATGGAGGAAGGATCCTGGGAACTGAAAAGCACAGTACTGGGGCAAGACACATTTCGCTCAAATACACAGGGATAGTAGCAGTTGTAGTAGTAGTATAATAGCATCAGTTGTAGTATAGCAGCAGCAGTAGCAGCAGTAATACTGTTTTCTGTGTAAATCTCACTTTTCTCCTGTGGCATCAGTGAAGTGGGACATTATAAATCAGTGGAACAGAGACCAAATGGTTGTGCAGGACAAAAGAGGGACAAGAGCCTACTTCTCTCACCTCAGTCTCTTTTGTGATAGATTCCTTTGTACAGTACATTCTGTGCATTAATCTTCTCTCTCTTTTTTCTCTCCCCTCCTTTCCTCCCCCCTCTCACTCCCTGCCCTCTTTCTGACTGTCTTTCCTCTCCTTCCTCTCTGCCTTTTTTTTTCTCTCTTTCCCTGTCTCCTGTCTCCTACACCCCCCCCCCCCCCCCATTTTTTCCTCTCCTCTTTCCTCTTTTTCTCTCCCTTCCACAGTCCCGGCTGCAGTGGGTGAGGTCACTGTCAGTAATAATGGCCGTATGGACTTCCTGAGCGTGTCATGGCGCCCTCCAGTGGGGGAGGTGGACAGTTACCTGGTGTTGCTCAAAGACCGGCAGAGGACTGTCCACACTCTGGTCCAATCCAGGACCAGTCCTGAGTGTGTCTTTAAGTCTCTGGTCCCAGGACGTCTCTATGACATCTCCATCAGCAGCAGGAGTGGAGCCTTCCACAACAGCACCAGTGTTCAGGGGCGCACACGTGAGTATAAAATACTGTAATAAGAGAATTCCCTCTCTAAGCTGCAGAATCTGCACTAGCACTGAGTCTTGACTGGCTGCAGGTGTTGAGATTTAGATAGTGACCAATCAGATAAGTTTAAACCAACTAGAGTTCAGTATTGAAACTGACAACCCAAATGAGAGGTTCATTTGAGGCTCATTCTGCTTTCAGATTGGATAATTGTCTTGAGAAACATAACATAAAATTATAAATGGGTCATCGTGATCAATATTTTGTAATTAAGAATAAATTTGTATTTGTTATTAGGAAAAACTTTTTGATTTGGACATGTTTACCTTCCATGAAATGAATGAAAATATTCTCTGTTATTTCTTTTTCTATGAACTTGAGTCAGTGAAGTAATAAACCTCTCAATAAACCTCTCTCCTTAAACTGTATTTGTCCCTCCACAGAGCCGGCTCCGGTGCAGTTGCTCACGGCGACCCATGCTGCCCGGGACATGTACTTGAAGGTGTACTGGAGCCACGCCCACGGAGACCGTGATTCTTATGAGGTGTCCATCCAACATAGCTCCCAGACTGTGCTTAATATGTCTGTGCCCCCAGAGCAGAGTGAGTGTGTGTTTGAGAGACTGGAGCCTGGAAGACTCTACACTGTCCTGGTGAACACGAGGAGTGGAGAGTACGAGACCAGCACCTCCACACATGGACGCACACGTGAGTTTAGAAAGACTCACTAGTCAGACTTCCACACTAACCAAAAATATTTTAAAAAAAAACTAAAAAGGAGCAAACAAACTCTGACATTGTGATCAAAAGATGCACACATGCAGTCTTAGCTTGCCTCTGCACTGATCAGACCTGTCACTGGCTTTGATTGAGACACTTTTTCAATAACATCATCAATGAGACAAACAAGTGGCAGACTGTCTCACCAGAAAAGTTACACAGTGCACATTTAATGTTGTTTTTATGTATTATGTATTTATGTATTGCTATAAAAGTAATATTATCTCCTCCCTCTCTCCACAGTCCCTGCTCCGGTGCGCTCCCTCTCCCTCTCCTCCTCCTCCTCAGACTCTCTCTCGGTGTCTTGGCTATCTGCTCCAGGAGAGGTGGATCACTATGAGGTTCAGCTGGTGTATAACGACATAAAAGTGTTCCCTCCTCAGACTCTGGGGGGTGCCATCGACCGTTGCACTCTCTCTTCACTAACACCAGGGCGGCGCTACAAGATTGTGGTGTCCACATTCAGTGGCCCCAACCAGAGAGCGGTGTACATCGAAGCACGCACAGGTAACTCTACAGGAGATTCACACTTCGCAAAGAAAAACACAAATGTTGAGCCTCATTATGTGTTTGGAATTGGCTCTACAAACTTGTCATATTAATCTTATGTCTTAAAGTACTTTTAACTAACAACAAGCACATCTTTGGGCTTCAATCTTTGGGCACCGCTTTCTGAACCTATTGTGAAAAAAAATCATAAGACTTTTGTTTATTTATACTGACAGAGAAGATAATAAAACATTGGGTCAGTTTTTTCATGTGGATAGGCCCAGTAATTACAGAAGTATGAACCATAAACAAGATAAACAAATCTGCAATTTGACAGTTAAACAGCAAATTCCACCATAAAATATTATTCCGGCCTGCCCCCATCTCAGTTAAACAACACTCAGGGGATACTGGATGATGAAAGGGCATCTGACACAGGGATATTTATGGATTTCAGCCTCTTGTTACATTAAACATTTTTCCCATTCAAAAGATGTAATATTTCATTTTAAATTGTTAATCGCTATGGCAACTGTCCTAATCTTTTATCATTCTGACACTCATGGATAACAGGATGTGGAGCCTCTGCCACACATGACACACAGGGATATTGGAGAACAAGTGGGCATCTGACACACAGGTTTAATCAGTCTGGGAGATCATCTGACTCTGCTCTCTTCAGTCCCTGGGCAGGTGAGGAACGTCCATGTGTCCAATGGAGGAGACAGCAGCAGTCTTCGTGTCTCTTGGTCCTCGGCTCTGGGGGATGTGGACAGTTACTGGGTCTATCTCTTCAGAGAGTCAAGGCTCTTGGACTCTAGACCAGTGCCCAAGACCAGACCCAAGTCCAGTTTCAGTCCCTGCAGCCCGGTCAGAGCTACAGCCTGGTTGTACAAACTTTGAGCGGAGAGAGAGACAACAACTACACGGCCACAGGGAGGACAGGTGAGACACACAACTGAGACAGGTGAAACTGGACCAACTCATGAATGAGTAATCAAATCTTAGGGGTTACATAATATTGACTCCTGTGAACTTTTGATTATATTATAATGTTACCTCATCGAAAACATATCTGGATTTGTGTTTTGTTTTATTCACGCGTTTGAGTAATCCTTTATTATAAGTCTGTCTGCATCTCCAAAGCTCAAAATGCTCTGTCCCAACCTGTTTTCAAATAATTAGGTCATCTTTATTATGTAATTTTGTTGTTGTGTTAGCTTTAATATTTTAATAAAAGTTAACATTAGCACTGACACACAAAGATGCAACTTTGTCAACAGAAATTTCCACATGCTGTCAGTGACATAAGAGATAAAATACAAAAGTGTTTTTACTGTACACTGTTCTGTTTTGTCTCTCTCAGTCCCCTCCCGTGTCTCTGGGCTCCGGGTGTATCCACTTCAGTCATGGCGTTGTCTGGAGGTGTCCTGGGAGCGGGCACTGGGTGTGGCTGATGGGTACAGCCTCACCCTACAGGACGACAGGGGTAGTGCAGTGATGAACGCCTCTGTCCCCAGCTCCCAAACGAACCACAGGTTTGAAGATCTGAGTCCAGGAAAGAGCTACAGAGTCCTGGTTCAAACACGGAGCGGAGGAGAGAGGAGTGAAGCCACCAGTGCCCAAGGGAGGACAAGTAAGAAAGACTTCTATAAGATAATGTAGAAGATGTAGAGACACTTTTTATAAGATAACATCCAGATATAGAGACACTATATATTAGATAACATACAGAACAGAGCAGAGGAGAGAGGAAAGCCAGTAGTCAAGTAAGAGACACACTTTATATTAAATCTGACACAGTGCGTTGATGTATTTCAAATGTCTGCACTCAAACACCAAAGCTCCAACTAGAGGCGTTTGAAGCCACTGTGACGCCCCAGACTGAATGTAGCATAGGGAGCATCTAGAGATATAGAAACACTTAATATGATGACTAAAAACTTAAGCCATATCTCCTTGTCACTTCTGTCAGTACACCCCAGGGCAGCACTGGCCACAGTTAGCTGACTCACAGACTTGAGACATATTTGCACAAGACCAGAATTACCTGACAACTTTAATTTACAACAATTACATAAAAATGCATCCAGCCCAAGAACTGAGGACCTTCTTGCTCTGAGGTTAGAGTGCTTGACAGTAGACAACTTTTCACAGGTGATAATGTATTCATATGTGTGGCAGTGTGGTAAAGCTAATCATTGAATTCTGAAATAATAGATGATATAATAGAAAATAAAATTAGATTACACTGCATTTTAGAGTTAGGGGGAGCATATTATTTGATACTGTAAATGTTGACACTGGTATTGTGATTCTCTGTATTCCAGGTCCAGCTTCAGTCTCAGACCTGGCCCTCCGCTCATCCTCATCCTCCAGCCTGTCCTTCTCCTGGTCACCTCCAGAGGGTGTGTTCGAGGGCTTTGAGATGCTGTTGTATAGAGAGGATGACTCAGTGCAGGAGAGGCGCAACGGAGGCAGTGCGGTCTTCCTCGTCACCTTCTCTGGGCTGAGGCCTGGAGCTCTGTACAGACTGGTGCTAGTGACGCAGAGCGGAGAGAGGAGCAACAGGACTGCTATCTGGGCTAGGACAGGTAAAGAGGAGGAGAGTGGAGGAAAAGGAGAGAGGAGGAGGGAGGAGAAGTGAGGGGTGGGGATAGGCCACTACTCTTCTGGGTATATAGGTTGTCAGTTCAAATACAAAAATACAACTTATTCTACAAAGTACAACTTTAGATAGTTAAGTACAGATGCATAAATGTTTCTAGAGTATGGACATACTCCAAAGGTGCACTGCGTAACTTTTTTAGTGAAGTTTTTGAAGGTTTCACCAACTGCTTGTTTCCATATAGAGAAATTATTGCTAAGTTTAATGCCATACTATGGAACATTACAAAGTAATATCAATTCTATTCTATACAATAAAGAGTTTACCAGTCAAAATATAGTATTATTTTTTAGTCACAGGCCATGATAATCACTGTAAAATAGATCATATAATGTCTTTGTATGCTCAAATGTTTTAAAAGAGCGTTGCACGAAGCCCTGCTATATTAGGTTAGCCAAACATCATCCTTATATTGTCTTATCTGATCTCTGTCCCCTGTCTATCCTCAGTCCCGGCTGTAGTGGGCACTCTCACAGCTCATGGCTCAAACCTCACAGACTCTCTGGACCTGTCCTGGACTCGGCCTGAGGGAGACCTGACCGGGTTCAGTCTGGTTCTGCAGGAGCCAAACGGGACTGTGCGGTCTGAGCAGGAGACTGGACCAGACCAGACGCAAGTCACCTTCTCTCAGCTCACACCAGGCAGGAAGTACACAGCTGTGGTCACCAGCAAGAGTGGAGAGCTCCGGAACAGCGCCACCATACAGGCCCGGACTGGTAAGAGAACAGGAGTTGAGAGACTCGTCAAAAATGAAACTTCTGAAACGTATTAAACATGTTAATTTTCTACGAACATAGGATTTTCAGAACAATATAAGATAGCATTGTGATCTAAATATGTGGGCAATGTGTTAGCAGTTAATACCCCATAGAAGTGTGATGCCCCTTCTTAAAGATTTAATATATAGTTAGCTAAAATCTGTATGTTGTCTCCCCAGCTCCCCTGCCCCCCTCCTCTCTCCTCTTTGGGGGCATCACAAACACGTCTTTGGAGCTGACCTGGACTGCACCCACTCATTGTGACTATGATGACTTCGACCTGCAGTGGGCACCACAGGACCCTCTCTCTGTCATTAATCCTTACCACACCAGGACGTCTGGCAGCAGGATCCTCCGGGGCATGTACCCAGGGAGGCTGTACCATTTCAGCCTGCGCACTGTTAGTGGGGCCCTGGACCGAGAGGGGCAGAGGACATACAGCCAGAGCATCAGCAGGAGCATCAGGACTAGTGAGTGAGAAACCTTAAACACTTATATGTTTAAAAAAGAAAAATACAGCAATGGTTTGGATGGTGCCCCGGGTATTCAAGGAGACGTCAAATGCAGAGGACAAATTTCCAAGTGTACCTGAACCTTAATACTTGTCATAAATATTATAATTCCCTATTTCTCTTGACTTGTTTATGTCTTTCTATCTCTCTCTCTCCATCCCGCCCTCTCTTTTAGAGCCAGGTCGTGTCCACTCTCTCCACTGTCGTCCTCAGAGCTCTACATCCATCTCCTGCTCGTGGGCACCCCCAGAGGCCGACTTTGACTCCTACACCATTGAATGCGTCCTGCGGGAGGCGCAAGTCCTGGTCTACTCCCGAAGGACTGATCCAGAATCTGGCTTCTACCTGATCTCCGGTCTGGAGCCTCACAGACGCTATACTGTCACTGTGAAGGTCATCTCTGATAGAATGACCAGTGAACCAGCCAGAGACAGCGTGGTCACCATGATAGATCGTGAGTACAGAGCCAGGACTAAACCAGACATAAACCAGAACTGAAGCAGAGGTAAACCAGTGGGACCAAACTAGGACAGAATGAGGACTGAACCAGGACTGAACCAGGACTACTGTGGGAATTAACCAATATGCAACCTGGACTAAAGAACATGTATAAGGCTGAAGGTGGACAACAGATGGACTAAACCAGGATTGAAGCATAAAATCAAACGTGCCTCAGTGTTCAATCTTAGGTGTTGTGCTTTTTAACCTGTATATGCTCCTTCTTGGCGGTGTCACAGTTGCTTAACTTTATATCTCCATATCTCCTGATTTTGAGAGAGACTTTTGCCCAAACTGCATGGCCTAACACAAGACGATAGAATAAAATTAAATGTGAAGTATTACATAGAGGTTTATAAATCTACTATGAATCTATAACTCCAAGTGGAATGAATTCCTGTGCGCAAAAAGAGTAGGGATGAAGTGAAAGAATTATATTTCACTGGTTAAAAGTTTAGACCTAGTGGGGATCTGGTTTAATCCTGTTGGGTCCTGTTTTCTTAAATGTGACTCCCTACTCCTCTCTCTCTCTCTCTCTCTCTCTCTCTCTCTCTCTCTCTCTCTTTCTCTCTCTCTCTTTCTGATAACTGTATCTTAGGTTCTTTATAGATATACCTCCCCTCTCTTTCCTCAGGTCCTCCTGTCCCTCCATTCTCCACTCGGGTCACTGACGTCTCTCAGGTCTCCACGACGTACATTTCGTTTGGGTTTAACTGCAGCTGGTTCAGTGATGAAAATGGAGCCGTCAGGTTCTTCACTGTGGTGGTTTCAGAGTCTGATGGTGAGAGGATTTTACTTTACTACTTTACTTTTGTTGTTTACTTTAATTTGGTGGATAATACCTGTTCAAAATATAAATTATGCTTTTATATCAATCAAGAAGCAATTTGCAGAGAGAAGCAATTTACGATTAATTTTAGGGAACATGTTTTTTCTGATACTTTAACATAAGAAATTATATTTTTTAATAATGTTGAAATAATATTTGTCAGTTAATCATTTCTGTGTAAATTAGAGGAGTTTTGGGCCAGTGTACAATATAGTTACAATATATATACTAGGTTACAATCATTGAATTCTCTAGTGTGAAGTAAAATTTTAAACCTAAAAAAAAACCTGGAAAATAAATTGAAAAAATCTTAGCAAAATGTTAAATACAATGATCTTAAGAGAGCAAAATGAGTAGTCCAACCTGTCATAGGCACGTTAACCACTTATCATATATTCACTCTGTCCATAGATGTGTCCAGTGTGCAGCCAGAGCAGCGCCACCCTTTGGCCTCCTACAGGGATTACATCTCAAACAGCTCTGTGCGCTCCTACCAGACTGGCTACTTCCCCAGTGTATGCTCCCAAGGTCTGAACCCAGGACTGGACCAAGGTCTAGACTTGGGTCTGGATCCGGTTTTGGACCGGTCTGGAGGGGAGTTCAACATTAGCCTGGGTACTGGGATGGGACTGCTCGGAGGGCCCTGTTCAGAAAGTACAGAGATCTACTGCGATGGACCACTCAAAGCAAAGACTGCATACAGGTAACAGCAAGCAACCTTATAATACAGAAAAGAGGGTCAAAGGATCAGAGGGTAGAGAGGAGAGGGTCAGAGAATCAGAGGAGAGGGCCAGAAGAGCAGAAGAAGAGTAGATGAAGCAGAAGAAGGGTAGATGGAGCAGAAGACGAGTAGATGGAGCAGAGGAGGAGCAGATGGAGCAGAGGAGGAGCAGATGGAGCAGAGGAGGAGTAGATGGAGCAGAAGTGGAACAGATGGCATAGAGGATGCCTTATGGTTGTGTTGTCTTATAGGATCAGTATTCGCGCTTTCACTCATCTGTCGGAGGAGGACTCAGGTGCTTCCTCTCTGTTCTCGGACACGTTCCTGTCTCTGCCTGTTCTCACTGAGGCTGGTGAGGTTCTACACAGAATGTTCTAATGGCACAAATAAGCACAACTAAATAATGCTGTTACTGTCATATTCATGGTCCTTAAAGGTGCATTGTATAACTTTTCTGATGTTGTTGCTTTGTCTATTTAATAATGGTTTCTTTACTAAAATATGTTGACATGAATTCTTACTGTGAGCAGTGCTACCCTCCAAAGATCTGGGGTGTCATTCCACAAACTTCGTCAGACCTGCTCATTACTCATCTCCCTTGCTCAGATCTCCTTCTATCTCATTTCTGAAAGCAGAATTTTTGGACTGGGTTTTTTTTCCATGTTAAATCTTTTAATAGATATGGCAGTCAAAAGCTTGGACACACTTATTAATATAAGCTTCTTCTTTATTTACTCTGTACATTCTCACCGAAGGCCACAAAGTTATGAATGGACAGATGGAATATAGTAAACAAAAAATAAACAAAAAAACTTGTTTTACATAAAAATAAATAAATAAATAAAATAAAAGCTGTTTTGCACTTTTGGTATTTCTTATGTGTATGTGATGTGGAATGAAAACCATTCAGGAGACTCACTGGAACTCACTGAGAGAAGTTCAAGGGTTTGCAGTTCTGTCCACAAAACAAAGGGTAGCTACTAGGAGGATTTGAATATAAAATATTAAAATTATTTTATTTAGTTATTGCACTTTTTTTCTTTGCTACATAATTCCATATATCATGCTTCATATATTTGATGTCATCTATATGTATCTAAAATGTAGAAAGTAGTAAACATAAAAACTGAATGAGGGTGTGTCCAAACTTTTGACTGTTAGTGTACATAACATTTTTGTTAGTACACAGACAATCTGTCACCTATTTGTCTCCATGGTGATAGATACATCTCACACCATACTGAAGAACATTACATACATAGTATACCTGTGTATAGTCTGGCATAGTGGAGCAGTTATACACTGTATTTATTGTATGTTTCTGTATTTAGAACCGTACAGTGGAGTGGTGGAGGGCATTGGAGCCGCTCTGTTCCTGGTGGTCCTTCTGGTAGGAGTCACGGTTCTGCTTATGTGTCGACTCAAAACCACTAAAGTGTAAGAGACATATATTTACTCCAGGCTAATGACAATTCTTAAAGACATGTGAGACTTTTCTGATGGATGCTTTGTTCCCTGGTTGCCTCAAGTTTGTAATGCCAGTATAGCACAACTGGAACATTCTACTTAAAGCATTTAACATTTCCATCATCATCATCATCATCATGCAGAAGTTACTTTGTGATGAAAATGGAGCCCTTACTGAATTTTTTGTGTCTTGTGAACATGGGTCTTATTGACAAAAATGAAAATGTCAATATTTTGGAGGATAACAATCATCAGATCATATTTTTGCATCAAAAATGTGCACAAGCGTGCATAAACACATTATGCACACAACATTAAAATCGGAGATGAACCTGGACTAAACGTGGACTTAATTCTGGACTAGACAGGGGATTAGTGGATTAATATATTTAATTGTGTAACATAGCTCTTTCTTTAAGGGGGCATTTTTCTTATTTTCTAATCTATGTTCTGATCTAATGTTTCCACATCAAAAACATACCTGGAGTGTGTTTTATTTCATTCTCACATGTTTAATACACAAACCCTGTATTTTTAGTTCTTCTCTGAAGGAGAAAACAATCTTCTTCACTGTGTTTTCAAACTCTTTACTAGTTTCATTAATAATATAATCAATATAATTTCAGCCCTAGAATTGAATCTCTACAGAACAAAAGGAAAAATGTAGCTGTTAACTGTAAACTACTGCTTCATGACATCACAAGGTGGAACAGAGCATCTGGAGCTGGAGATGTATAATAGATAGATTAATAATAAAGGATTACTCAAACAATTGTGCATGAAAGAAAACACAACTCTGGGTATGTTTTTGATGAAGTAAGAATATTATAACATGGGTTAAACATCACAAGATAAAATTTTGTGTCAATTAATGTATAATTTTGGCCTCTATCCCCCCTCTATCCAGGATGGAGGAGACTCCGATCGTCCGTAGAAACTCAAGGAGAGAGAGGCCCACATCTGCGGTGCACCTCGGGGTCAGAGGGTAAGACAAAATAGTTCATTTTTTGAAAGTTGGACTGTTTAACTTTTCTGACACTTGCTTGTCTCCATGGAGATGCTATTGCTCTATCTATCTATATCTATATCTATATCTATATCTATATATATATATATATATATATATATATATATATATATATATATATATATAGATATAGATAGATAGATAGATAGATAGAAATAGATATATAGATATTTATTTATTTATTTATTTAGATATTAGATTAAATAAAATCAGGTACAGGCCCTTTAATGCCATACTCTGGAAAATACTATACAAAGCTGTTTTGATGCATAAATGATGCATGCTTTTGTTTCAAATTTATATATTTATCTATTTATTTATTTATTATTTATTTATTTATTTAGATATTAGATTAAATTAAATCAGGTACAGGCCCTTTAATGCCATACTCTGGAAAATTCTATACAAAGCTGTTTTGGTGCATAAATGACGCATGCTTTTGTTTCATTTGAGGGAACAAAAAACGTCTGAACGCCGAGTCATAATAGCAAAACATTAAATTCATGATGTTTGAGAATTAGATTATGTCATAATTTCAAATGGAGAGCAGGGGTTTATATAACTTTATGTTTTTGAAATAAATCTCCAACTGATTCACAAATGTTGAACCTTGTAACTTTTTTTTTTTCATTTTGATTGTGTCTAGCACTGAAAACCTTAAAAACCTCTATGGAAATTGGTGTCCCTTTAGCTATAATATTTCAGAATATCAGTAATTTCAGAGTAGTTGTAAGTATATTTTTTGGAATCATGCAAATGTCATCTCCAGAAAGTAAGATTTCCATATTAAACTTTGAACAATACTATAATAATTTGACTTTACTCTTTATTTATAGACTTGCTGAATGTTGTGATGTCTTGAACAATAATAATTAGTCTTCACCTTTTACATGTAGACCTACTGAAGGTTGAGACGTCACATTAAACCCAGACAGATCCATATTTGGACGTCTGTTTACTTTTCTAAACCTGTTTTGGTCCTACGTAAACTTCCTCCTGCCACTATTCTATTCAATCCACTGGAGGCATTTAAAGTATGTGCTTAGGTCAGTCTGTGAAGCAGGCGTAGGTGTAGTAATGCTTTAGTGATGCTAATGCTGTTAATAATTATAGCCACTCCTCCATCTGCACAAAGAACACATAGCCACACCCCCTTCTGCATCGCGACTGACGTGAGCACACAGAAGAGGACATTTATATTGAATTAGTAAAACATGAGAATGATCTGGGTGCTCTGACTGGTTCATTGGAAACAGGACATAAACAGTAAACAAACCGTGGGGACACTCAGTATACCAGAATGCTTGAAGGATGTCTGGTCTATGTCATATTTCTACTAACATTTGAACTGAAATAATGGCATTTACTTCATTACAGACACATTTTTAGTGTTATAAAAACTCTTTGAAAAACATGCACTGCAGTTAGAGTTGTCAAAAGTATCGAAAATCAGATAGTAATCGATAGGCCTACTAAAACTAGTATCAAAACTAGATACTCATTTGAGCAGGTACTGATGCTAAAAAAGTTACTTTCACAGGACAGATGAACCTTTCCTGAATAGCTTTAGAATGATGTTGGTGTGAGACCACAGTATACACTACATGGACCACTAAGGAAACTAGTTGGATGACTGAAGGATTACACAGATATAACATCACATGGTAATATAAAAGAAAGTATTATGATTTAATGTTGAAAATCACATTCTGTTGTTCAAAGAAAGAGTATTTTGAGTTTGAAATTTTAGTATCTTTACAACTGTTGGGGGCTTGTCTTTGTGAAGTATGATAAAACTGAATATTATTTAAAACTATAGTTACTCATGAAATACAACCCCAAAGAAACACTAACAAAATAAGGTCTATGAGAAATCAGTGGAAACCATCTCTGTGTTTTGAGAAAAATGTTTTGTGTTAAATATTCCCAAAGACAAAAAGGCACTCTTGTTTAAGAAAAATTCAAAAGTCTTTATCACAGCATGGCTATTGACATAAAATACACACACCAGCATGTGTTGGCCCAGCATAGCCTTCCTCATGCTACACATTATTCCCAAAAGACAAACTGTTTTCCCTGGCAAAGAACCACTCCTATCTCCAAGGTGGGTCGTTAGAATATTTTTTTTTACCAGTAAGAGGTCTCTGTGCTCAAACCTATGCTTTAAATGTACAAATGTCCACAAAATGGAAAGTAGGGCTTTCCTGTGGGGTTTACATGCTCTACCTATGTCTGTGACGCTTTCCCTGCAGAACATGTATAAGAAGGTCAAATCTCAGTGCACTGGAACAAAATACAATCTAAATAAGTTAATAAGATATTAAGTGCTTAAATCAAGTAGTAGTTATCTTGATGTGAATATTTGGCTGTACTCTTTCTCAAGTGCAGGAGCATGTGTCTCCTCATTTATAAATGAAATTTAGCCTGCGCAGCTAACTCTGGCATTAACACATGTTCATTAATACATACATACATACATAATCATTAAATATAAATACATAAACATTAAATATAAATATAAACATTTCAAGTTAGAGGTTGTCTTTTTCTTATTTTAAGTAAAACAAAACATTTCATCCCTGATCTATTGCCAGATTTTATTTTAAGACACTCAAAATGTACTCACATCAAGATAATGCCTATTTGATTCAAGCACTTATTAACTCATTATCTCATGTAAGATTGTATTTTTTGCGGTGTGGGAGTTTCTTGGTTAAATACAGAATATAAATGCAGCTTAGTGTTCTTTGAACTCTTAATTAAACACACTCTGTATTTTCTCATTGGCATTTGTTCTCAAAGAGTGTCACTGTGTGTACTGTGATCAGCTGATTCCAAAAACATGTCCCTGGACCACAGCCAAAGACCAAATGTTCTATCTTTTTCTCACTGGACTTCCCTCTCTCCCTCTCTCTCCTCCTCCTCCTTCTCCTTCTCCTCCTCTTTGTGTTCTGTTCTCTTCGGTCCTGGTAATAACTCACCTGTCCCTCACCTTCACCTGGGTCATGTGACCAAACACATTCTGATTGGTTAGTGAGCCTCATATAAGCTGAGTCAGTCTGACAGGTGTCACTTTCTCTCCACAGACACAGACGGATCTCCAGGTAACGCCTTGTCTTATTTTTACTTTTCAAGTTTTAATTATAAGAAATAACAAGCACACATTGCTACTGCTGCTCTGTTACTACTGTTGTTTCATCTACTTCTACTACTACCACGAGTGCTACAAATATTAGTGCTACTACTGCTACTACGACTACTACTACTATTATTATTACTTCTACTGGTGCCACAGCTGGTGAATCCTACTACTACTACTGCTGCTACTACTACTCCTAATTGTATTACTGCTTCTACTAATACTGCTTGTTATAGTTACTTCTACAAGTACTACTACTACTACTACTACTACTACTACTACAGTTTTATCTAATGTTTTACATGCCTTTGTTTTGTGTATTAATTATATTTTCATTTATTTAAATGTCATATAGTTGAGGTAATACTGCTGCTGCTTCCACTACTACCGTTACTACTATCATTTTATCTTACATTTTGTTGTTTACATTGTTTCTGTATTAATTATATTTTCATTTGAATGTTATTTAGTTTAGTTAAAACAACTTCTACTCCTAATACTAACTCAACTTGTCCTTTTACTAGTGTTATCACTACTACAGCAACGACTACTACTACTTCTACTATTTATGCAGTTTTATCTGATATTATTCTGATGTTTTTTGTTTTGTTCTTCAGTCCGATAAAGATCATGAACTTCGAGGCTCACCTGGTGAAGCTCCAGGCTGACTCCCACTACATGCTGTCTGAGGAATATGAGGTAATACTGTTATGTAACTGTAATTAAGATGGTTAACATAGAAATCAGCCATTTAAAACATTGCATTGCATCTTCTGAATGGGGAAAAAGTCCTCAAAATGGCGCCATCCTCTGCATTTTGTCCAGGTGTGTCCACAAATTGGCTGTTGTTTGGTATAACTGTGTTGAGAGGAAAATATTGTCACTGATGCATCAATGGAAAGTCAAAGAAAACCAAGATGTGTTTTTCTTATAATTTTAAGTCTAAATTAAGCTTTGTCTTATCAAAATGTCAGTTTGTAGATCTGGCACCTCAGGAAAACACTGTTTAAAATTTAGTTGCCATGATTGCAATAGAATGTTCAGTCCTGCACTCGGGTCAAATTATGAGTTTTTTTGGGAGTCCCTTTAAACTAGAGGGATTCTACCACGTTGTGATGTCATGTGACCCAGCATATATAAAAAATTATATCAGCTCTTGAGTATTGTTGTTGTTGTTATGTGACCACTCTGCCCCCTTGTGGTGAGTGCAGGACCTGAAGGATGTGGGGAGGAATCAGCCTCTGGACACTGCTCTGCTGCCAGAGAACAGAGGGAAGAATCGTTACAATAACATCCTGCCCTGTGAGTATATGACTTAACAAAAAGTATATGAAATGTACTATTAATATTTAGTTAACTGGCACACTTTAAATGCATCCAAGAGCATTCACATCTGAGAGAAACTGAAATTTAAACTTTAAATTAATCCAAGAATCCCATGCATTTCAGAGCATGTTTGTAGAGGTCTAAACTACAGGCTTAGCAGCTTTTACATAGAACAAGACCCCATGAAGACACAGGGAGGGCATCTGACACACAGGAAGGGCATCAGGCACACAGGGACATTTCAGAACATGTTTCTAGTAGACTACAGGGTTAGCAGCTTTTAAACAGTCTTGCGTCTGCTCCACACCACATGTTTTCCTGACAGAGGATTGGCTGTAGACCTCTCCATTAAAAACACCCAAGCAGATCATTGACCATTTTAAACCACAGATCCTGATTATATTAAAGTTGAGCTGTACCACAGAGACACAGAGACATTTAGTCTACTGTAAAGAACCTGATATTACCTAAAAAACTGCAGACTTTGGAATTAGATGATTTTCTCTGTTCAAATTTTGATATATTTCTCAGCCATAGCACTTGCCTCTGCCTTTTTAAAGAGAGAGCATTATGCAAAATGCAAAATAGTTTTTTCTTTCTTTCCTTTTTTTTTTTTTGGAGCTTTCAACCATGTTATAACACTCATCAAAAACATGGCTGAAGAGGTTTTATATGTCATCCATGCATATTTAAGTACTAATTCACTATTGGGGGATGCATTCCAACTGTGTAGTGATAGCGCTCTGAAGGGGGAGTGACTTAACACAGGGAGCAAAGGGAGGGAAGCCTAAGAGTATAAAAAACTAAAGTTAAACTTATAAAATGTTAATGCGTTGTTTTCTACAAACATAACTTTTTCAAAACATTAAAAGCTAACATGGTGATCTAAATATGTTATGTGTTAGCATTTAATACTCCATAGAAGTGTACTACCCCCTCTTTAATTTATACTTATTTATTTATTCGTCCTTTTTCCAGACGACTCGACACGTGTGAAACTGTCGCAGACAGATGATGACCCGAGCTCCGACTACATCAACGCCAGCTACATCCCAGTGAGTCTCTATTCATTCAGAAAACTATATTCAAATAGTTTTTGAGCTTGCAAAATTAGAATATTGGGCTATAGTGTTTAAAACACTGTTAAAAAGACAAAACAATGATTATAAAATCTGAAATAACAGATACTCGCAGTGGTTATTGTGAGAAAAAAATATTATTCTTGACTATTGGCACCTTAAAGTGCATTTGACAGATTTATATATTTTTCTAATTCTAACCTGGTATGGTGGGACAGTACCTCTTGTAAATATTTATCATAGTTTTACATCTGTTTGTGAAGAAAAGTAGAAAACCAATGCTGCAAAACATCTCAACAGAGCAAGATAAATCACAACTGAATCCAAATAAAGTAGCAATCTAAATGGTTGCAGTGAGCAAATCACAAAGCCTGTAATTATTAAGGTCATATAATTTTTTTTGATAATTAAGCGTATGTTTTAGGGTTATAACTTCCGTCGTGAGTACATTGCGACTCAGGGGCCCCTGCCTGGGACCAAAGATGACTTCTGGAGGATGGTCTGGGAGCAGAATGTGCACAACATCGTCATGGTGACGCAGTGTGTGGAGAAGGGGCGGGTCAGTATTTGATTTTTTGGTTTATGTTGATGTGAATGTTATTTCTGGCAGAATATTACTTTTTATTAAATCATAGTTTTAAGTAGCAGTTTGTGAAGCAAAAAAAAAAAAAGTTAATTTATCAGTTATAGCACTGTGTTCTAAAAAGGACTTCATGTATTATGTGTGCATTTAGGTGAAGTGCGACCTCTACTGGCCGCGGGACCAGGAACCTCTGTACTATGGAGACCTAATTGTCCAGATGTGTTCAGAGTCTGTGCTGCCTGAGTGGACCATCCGAGAGTTTAGGATCAGCAGCGTAAGATCTCACCCTCATCAATACTAACCTCTAACCTGGCTAACTCCAGACTGATGAGTTCTACACATCTATCTGGAATGGCTCTCACTGAAAGTGATTGAGAAAACTTAGAATGGCAGGATCATAGACTGAATAAAGAAATGGACTAAGTGAGTGTGACGTCACCCATAGTGTTCGGTTCCAGCCAAAAGAAGCTCATTGAGGCTAGTGTTTACAGGGGAGAATTTTGAGCCAAGTTCCATATTAGGAATTCTGACTGTATCATAACAACCAAAGAGCCAATCTGGAGCGAGGCTGTTTTGGTTATGCCCCTTCCCGGTTCCTGCTAAACCAGAGTGGGCCAATCACAACCATAAGAGTGAGATGGATTCTCATAAGTTTGTGAACTCACAAATATCAGAGAATTCATCCTGCTGGCCAGGTTAGTTCAGTCCTGGTTCAAATTGGTTTAGAGATGGTTTAGTCCTGCTTTAGTCCTAGTTCAGACCTGGTTTAGTTCTGGTTCACTCCTGGCTCAGTCCTGGTTCTCGTTTGGTTTTCAGGAGGACCAGCTTGGATCTTCTCGAGTCTTGAGACAGTTCCATTACACTGTGTGGCCAGATCATGGAGTCCCAGAGACCACCCAGAGCCTGGTTCAATTTGTCCGGACTGTCAGGGACTATGTGAACCGTAGCCCAGGGTCTGGACCCACTGTGGTGCACTGCAGGTGAGAAAAAGTAACTGTATTATAATATTAAGTATAAGTAGAGTAGTAGTAGCTGTAAGTAGTAGTACTGCTGGTGGTAGCTGTAGCAGCAGCAGTAGTAGTAGCAGTAGATAACCTTCTCTCTCTAGTTCTGGAGTGGTAGTAGTAGCAGTTTTCTCTCTTTTTTCTTCTCTCTTGTACAGTGGGCCCACTTCCCTTCAACATTTAATGGTTCTGGACAGTGTAGTAGTGGACAGTAGTAGCAGTAGTAGCAGCAGCAGTAGGAGGAGGTGCCAACGCAGCATCTTGTGTTGGGGGTGGCATGAGGCACCCCCCCTTCCCCATCCCACCCCCCACCACCAGGAGGGGGTCTTGCCCATGGCACCAATCAGTGTAGGATTGCACTGAGTAGTTGTAGCAGTAGTACTTAATTCTCTCTCTCTCCCTTAAGTGCTGGAGTGGGTCGCACTGGGACCTTCATCGTTCTGGACAGAATTTTGCAGCAGCTCGACACCACAGACTGTGTGGACATCTACGGCTGTGTGTTTGACCTGAGACTACACAGAGGGTACATGGTCCAGACTGAGGTACTACTATTACAACTCATACTATTATTACTACTTCAGCCAGTGCTACTGTTGCTATTGGTCCTAGTGCTATGCTAAAAATGCAAAGCAATAACATTTCCAAGAAGATGGCAGACCTCTCCAACATAAAAGTAACATAATGCACCATTATCTTATATACTGAAGTAATTGAATTCTGAATTATTAGTCAGTCAAGATAAACCTTCACTTGTTTCATTATACCATTTTCATATATGGCCAGATGGTCAGATCTCTTTTGCTTTGCAGATACTCTTGGGTCCGGTCAAGCGGTAACGGAGGGAAACGGGGCAGATTTTTTACATTCAAATAGCTCTTATTCAGAAACTAGAGGGACTATTGAAATAACTAAGGTACTAGAATGTAGCAAAGAGTTAACACTTAAACAGGGTAAAGTTGACCCTGTGAAATTCTTTCAAGTTATTGACAAAAAATTTTAAAACTCATGTCGGTAACGGAGGGAATGAAATATGCAGCACTTTTTGGGCAATAAATACAAACAGTGATAACTAGCGGTTCTCACTTACATATCCTTAACAAACTGGTTTGAATATTTGCTTCATATAGTTTTCTACCATATGGTACAAGATTAGGTTGAAAAACCTCTTACTTTTTGAGTAATGAGATTTTTTATTAAGAAAGGTTATGGTAACGGAGGGAAAAGTAATGGAGGGAAAATTGTGCAAACAAGTAGAAGGTGCATGATTTTGCATAATTTGTCAACTTTTTTCTTCCAAATACTTTAATATTACTTCAAAATCAAAGGTAACTATTTCTATAAAATATGTCAGTCCTTCCAAGCAAATTTTTATAATTTTAAATACATTTATTTGAAAAATCATGTACCTTCATCAACAGTTCAAAGATGGAATAACACAAGATATGATGAAATACATCAGTTTATTTACATGATTTGCAGCTCTTTGAAATTTGGGAAATAATTTTTGTTCCATGTTTCATACATGGTATGTTTAAAACATATGTAACTTTAGAACCAAAAATGGTACAGAAAAAAGGTAAACAGTTTCATAAACTAGAGTACATATGCTATCTGTTCAATACATTTTTATATCAGATGCATTAACTTGAATTTTTGACCTTGCTGTATGCTTCTGCTTGACCGGGCCCTCTTTTGTAGTACTTGGATAAAAGACCACTGGGAATACCAAGTGTCAGTCAGCCAGCAGTAGCGCTAGTGTAAACTGTCATTGTGGCCTTATTCCTTAGGCAAGACACTTCACCTGCATTGCCTAGTATGAATGTGGTGTGTGTGTGCATGTGCGTGTGCGTGTGTGTGTGTGTGTGTGTGTGTGTGTGTGTGAGGGAGTGTGTGTTGCTGGGAAGGTTTGATGGAACAGACTGGCTCACATCTGTCAGACTGTCCCAGGGCAGTTGTGGCTACAGGAGTGTACCACCTTTGTGCCTTTGTTAAGTCTAACCCAGTTTCCTGTCACAGGTCCAGTACTCGTACCTACACCAGTGTGTTAGAGACGTTCTCCGAGCGCGAAAACTCAGAGAGCAAGAGAATGTTCTGTGTCCTATCTACGAGAACGTGCACTACAGCCAACACAGAGGTATTAAATCAGAACTAAACCAGGACTGAAGCATGACCATAATAATACTTAACCAGGACTGAAGCCAGACAACATCAGGATTAAACTAGAACGAAACCAGGACTAAACCAGAACTGAACCAGGAATAAACCAAGACTCAGCCAGGACTAGACCAGGACTAAACCAGAAACCAGGTCTAAAGATGGTCTTTTTCTCCACAGATGCGCTTTGTACTAGACGCTAAAGACTTGCTGCTGCCACCGCATGGAAACATATGGGATCTTTTTACATTTCATTTTTATCTAAATACAAATTATATTATAATATTTATGTTACAAATATTTTTACAGAATTGTACAAATGGTCAAAGTATATACGTATTTTGTAAATAATTTGCCCTATAAATATATATTTATGTAATTGTATTTATATTATAATTTTGTATGTTGCACAAATACAGTATTGATACAAAACTGCTCCTGTGTAAATCTATCAGTGACCAAAGCAACATGTGAACCAGGACTAAACTAAAAATAAACCAGAACTAAAAAAGGACCAAACTAGAACCAAACCAGAACTAAACCAGGAGTAAACCAGAACTAAACTTGGCTTAAATGTCTGCAACCACCTCTGATCACCACCAGAGAGAGCTGTCTCACAACTTTAATCACAGTGGATGGACTAAACCAGGACAAAAGTTGTACTAGACCTTCAAACCAGGCACCAATTTAGACCATCAATAGTTTAAATTAGATTAAAACGATAGCTGCCATAGTTTCAAAGTTCAGATGCATGCCTCCAGTGAGTGACTGGAGGTATGAAATTAATGAGAAATTAATAGTCTGATTAAAAATACATAAAAGCACTTGATTACCACTAAATAATGTCACACAGTGGAGTGTTTTGAGCACTATGACAAGCCAAATAAAATGCAAAGGCATCTGATACACAGGGGAATAGGGATATAGAAAGATCTTACAGGATTACTAAACAAAACACAATTCCAGGTATTGTTTTTGATGAAGAAACTACATTAGTAGATCCTAAAGGTTAAAATAGTTTAGTAAAGCGTACAGCACATTTGAAACATTTCTACAGGAGTATTGGTAAACAGCTCAGATTGTGGACTCTCCCTTCTGTCTGAGCCTGAGTCATTTGTGTGGGAGTCTCAACAAAAGCATGTTTGACTGTTATTTCACAAGAAGCAGGGCTGAGTCAGCGCGTTTACTACAGGTTTACTACAGATTTAATACAGGTTTATACAACAAGTTACTGACAGTACTCACTTTATTTATTACTTAAACACTGCATAAAAAGTACAATTTTAAAAAATCTATGCAACAACAACAGAATATTAATAATCAAAAAGAAGAAGAAAAAAACTGATTAGAGCCCAAACTAAATCTTGACTGAACCAAGACTAAGCCAGGACTGAACCAGGACTAATTACTTGATTACTGCCTGATAAATTACACTTAAAACAATTAAAGATCAAATGGAATAGTATTAGAATCGGAATAATTATAACTTAATTTATGATTACAGGGAAGTAATTGTACTTTCTGTAGTAGTTCTGGTAGGAAGCAGCAGCAGTAGTAGTACCAGCTGTACTAGTATTTGTAGTAATAGGTTAGTAGAAGAATGAAAAGTAGTAAGCCGTGAGGTAAGAAAAATAGTAACAGGCGTAGTAGTAGTAGTAGTAGTAGTAGTAGTAGTAGTAGTAGTAGTAGTAGTAGTAGTAGTAGCAGTAGCAGTAGCTGAAAGTTTGTAGTGCATTTAGTAATAGTCAATAGGCATATGTTTTTTAGCAGTATGCTATTAGTAGGGAATAGCAGTATTAATATTATAAGTTTAGTAGTTAGTGTAATGTAATGTAACATTATTAAGCATGGTTGTATCCAGGTTTTGTTTAGTCTTTCAATAGTTTTGCCCCTTAAAGCCTTTAGAAGATGACTCATTTCTGTGGATGTCTCAATAAAAGGTTTAATTTTAAGCTTTTAGGATGACTGACATACCATTACTTTTGTTACTCATGTCCCTCCCAAACCACACGTCCTGCGCATGCGCCCTCCCTCCCTGCTGGCTTTCACCACATTGGAGAAAAAAGTTGCTGCCTGATGCGTTTCACTGTTCTTTTTTAGCAAAACAACATAAAATAAACCGTCAAATACTGTCAGATCTTCATATCAACACTTATTTCATGTCGCGGACCAGACTTTTTCTGTGTAATCACAAATGAAGCAATTTTTCCCAAGTTTGTCCAATGCGGATGCGAAGCTATGCGCAAATTCCCATAGATTCCGACACACACGGCTTTCAAATGAGTTTTTCTTTAAATTTTCATTTGTTTAGTGTTAATAGTGTTGTCTCAATAATAAATTTGGTTTATAATAAACAAATATAGTAAATATTTACAAGTAAACTGCTATATTATTAATAAAATTAAAATGTCAAATACAATTTCAACAATTTTTGTCAGTGTACAGTTGCCGTAGTCAAGATGGCAGCCGAAACTACGCATGCGCACACAACTTTTGACGCAAATCGGGTAGTGGTAAAACGCTGGTCGTAACTCTCGGAGACTAGCGGCAGAAAAGCGCTTCAAACTTTGATTTTCTGTCTCAGAAACACACACGGACGCCACGTTTTAACACGCACAGAAGCAGAAATGACAATTCATGGCTTTTAACCGCGATTTGTGGCTTTATTTGTGCGAAAATGAGCCGTGAACACCTTTGAAAGAATTGTTTTTTTGGCGCCGCGGAAAGATGGTGGAGCCTCGGCTGCTGTAGCTAACTGCGGCTAGCTGTGGATCGCTTTGGGTTTACTTTCACCCACCAGGAGCTGAAAAAGTGTGTGAATGCGTGGAGACTTGGACATTTGGATCGGGGACACCAGCGCAGACGTGTGAGGACAGTTGTGGAGGTATTTAACACTTGGTGGGACCCGGGAGTCCTATGGGAATGTGGTGAAAGCTAATTAGAGAGCCAAATCACAGTTAGCTTATTCAAGTTAGCGAGAGGTCAGCTGCCATTACACTCTCTGCCCCAAACTCAGCCAATCATCACGGATCCAACACTTTTCACCGCTTTAACACGATACAAACGGACAGATTCTGCTTTAAATCAAATATTGTGCAAGTTTACGTCCGTGTTAAAGTTGAGTTCATCCTATAGTTCAATCCTGGTTTAGGTCTGAGTCAAAACTTGGCTCACAATTCCTGGTTTCGCCTTGGGTTGGATCAAAACATTTTCTATGACTCAAATTATCTAAAACTAGGATCATACAATAGCCTTAACATTTTTGGGGGGTATTTTAACCATGTTTACTCAACTTATAAGCGTGGGAAATGTTAATAAAGAGTAGTATTTGCGATTTTGTTTGTAAATTTCAGTCAGTTTTCCTGATTTAGTTGAATTGTGATTATAATTATAGAGTTATCGGAGTAATATTTTTGATGAATCAGTCATTTTGTTACTATAAGGGGCCTATATTACGCTAATTTCTTATCTATGTTATAATTTCCTCATCAAAAATTATACCTGTAGTTGTGTTTATTTCATTCACAGATGTTTAACACTCAAACCCTGCATATTAAGGCTGAGTTCTTCTCTCAAATTGAAAAACACTGTTCCACCTTGATACTTTGTGGTAATACAGCACGTGCTTCACTGTGTTTCTAAACTCTGTACTCCCTGGAATTGACAATCTCCTCTGAATTAAAAGTAAACATTAGCTGTTAACTTAAAAACTACCACGACATGACATCATAAGGTGGAACAGAGCATTTTGAGCACTGGAGATGTGAATGAAACAAAACACAACTCCAGGTATGTTTTTGATGAGGTAACAACATTATAACATGGCTTAAATCTCACGAGGCGATTTTGCGTAATATAGGATCTTTAATATTTACACACATATTTGCTGATTTCCAATTTGCCTGTATTGCTTAAATGAATTATGAAAAAAATAATAGATAAATAGAAAATAAAAAAAATAGCTGTTCTTCATGATGTTGTCAGTATTCTAAAAGTTTTGATTTCTACATGTTATAATAATCAATTCATAAAAAGTATTCATCAAACCTTCAATTCTCAGCAACATGTGAATTTAGCTTTTTACAAATTGGAGGTTAATTAAATGGAATAGTGCAGGACCTAATAAAATTAACTTAAAAAATGTCCCTTGTCTTTCATGATATCATTACCTTTGTATTTGAAATGAACAGTACTGAAACGGCAAAGGACCACAGACGTCATAGTCCCTTCTCTATTTTTTGAGTGTAATGTTAAAGGGTTGTAGAAGTTGGGCTGCAATGAATGGCAAAAAAATGAATCATGATTATTAATCTCAAGTTTCTGTACTTTTTTTTTTTTTTTTTAAACAAAAATGGTTTTCATTGTTGATGTTTTAAACTTAAACATGACCTTTGAAATAATAACCATTTAACACAGAAAATAGTCCTGTGTTCCTCAAAAGTTTTGCATCTGACAGAGGATTGGCTGTAGACCTCTCCATTAAACACAACCTTATAGTTGATCATTAAAAATTACAAGTATCTGGTTTGCTTTAATTGTGTGCCATGATTTATGTTTGAATCTTTTCTAAACTCCTCTGTCTCATGTGTGTCTCCTCAGACCGAAGAGCTATTGATGAGTTTGGACCAAAATAATGTCGTTCTGTGCGACTCTGAAGATGGAACCGGAGCAACTGGAGGCTCGATTTAGGTTTGAACCACAACTGTCATTTCACCTCATAAATTATTTGATTTTGTGTGTTATACAGACGTAAATCTTTACATATTTACATTAATGGCCACAACTGCTCATCAAAAAATGATTTTTTTCTGATCTCTTTTGCTAAACAGGACTGGGCCTGGTTAGTGCTTGGATACCACTGGTGGCATCTTTTATTATTTTATTATCAGATGCCAAAGTGAGGCGTAAACTGCCATTTTGTCCTTAGGCAGGACACTTCACCCACTTGCCTAGTATGAACGTGGGATATTAGTGTTGACGGTGGTGGGAGATGGCACAGATTAGCAGCCTAATTTCCACCAGTCTGCCCTATTAACTATTGAAGCTTTGGCTTAGTTGTTTGCCACCACTGTGGTGGTGAATGAATAATGCACTATTAAGTTCTTTGGGGGTCTTGAAAGGCGCTATAGAGATCCTGTTATTTATTATTATCAAAATCAAAATAAAGGCAATGATTGTAGTAATGTAAGTGATGACAAAATGTAATATTTGTTACAAAGACCGTAATCCTCATGCTAGAAAAAAGGATTCAGTTATTTTATCAAGAGGTCAGAATACAAACAACCTAACCATTTCATTCAGCATCTTGTTCATATATATATATTATATATATATATATATATATATATTTTTTTTTTTTTTTGCCTAAACATGTTTTGTTGTTGTTTGCAGACATCAGATGGTGCTGTGAAGAACCATGGGTGGCTGTTTAAGCTGTCCAGAGAAAGAGTCCATCCCAGATAATCATCAGAGCAAATTCAAGGTCAGTTCAGTCCATGGACTATCAAACCCAACTTAATGCAGTGCTTCTCTAACTATAGTCCCAATGGAGGACAACACTGTGGATATAATTCCCTAGAAGTGTAGGGAATCTGGTGTACCATCTAGGAATTATGATATGGAATTTTCCAGTTATGATTATTGTGAGAAAAAACACTGTTTTCTGTTTGAAAAAAGAACTCAGCCTAAATATGCAGAATTTGCGTGTTACACTTGTGTGAATGAAACAAAACATAACTAACGCTATGTTTTTGATGAAGAAATAACATTAAATAACATAGATCAGAAAAGAGCATAAAATTGGCCCTTTAATTTGATCAAATTGACATGCCTAGTACCATCAGACAAAGCTTGCTTTGCCACTGGTGATGCTCACAGTTGGAGAAACTCTGACCTAACCAATATTTTGGCCCATTTCAAACCATCCTTACTGTTAGCAGTGCAACATGTACAAGGCTCATCCCACAAACTTACATCACCCAAGTTCACACACAACAATTCTTCATAAATATAAAAAAAACATGATACACAATTGCAAACAGCAACTAACCTGATGCGATGTGCAGTAGTTTCATTAGTGGGATACATGTTGTGATGCCACTCTTAAGAGGGACTGAAGGGAGAGGGGACTCAGAGTGTGTTTTTTAACACTTTCAAAACAGTAAGAGATAACATGTTCTAAATATGTTGTGTGTTAGCAGTTAAGACCAGATAAAAGTAAAATACAATCTCTTTAAGTTTTTATTTGTTTACATGCATATTATGTTTCAGGTGATAAATGTGGACGACGATGGGAACGAGCTCGGGTGTGGTGTGATGGAGCTGACGGAGGCGGAGCTTGTACTGCACACTCATCGGCGTGATGATGTGCGGTGGCCATATCTGTGTCTGCGACGCTATGGATACGACTCCAACCTATTCAGTTTCGAGTCAGGACGACGATGCCAGACCGGGCAAGGTAAAAACTGTACAAATATTTAGCTAATTCTTAATAAAATAGAATACAATACAATGATCTAGGGCTGGTTTTCTTAGTCAACTAATCGTTTTATTTTGATTATAAGGATTTATATGGGATAACAGCAACAGAAAGGAGAAGTGAGTGGGTGGGTTAGCTGAAGATTTTGTATTTTTTGGTATTTGTATTAGTGCTGTAGTCAACCTACAGAAATTCTTGGTGGGCTAAATACATGTCCTACCAATGGATTAGTCAGCTAAAAAGGGGGTATGACAAAAGCTCTCAAAACTTTTGAGGATCTCTATGTATGTGACCCAAACTGTACTCACAAGACTGCAACTCCTTGGGAATTTATGCAAAGAATATTATTTATGCAGAAAAAAGAACTAGGAAATGATGTATTTATATTAAAACAGATAAAACTTTTGAATCACGAGATTAATCTGCCTATTTCTACATTGTTCCCTCGCCACTCATCCAAGCTACTACTTCAGTTCAGTTCAACCTTGACTGAAGAAGCTCTTTGGGTGAGCTGTGAAACGTCTTCATTCAAAAAAACTTTAGTTCAGTTGACAGAATTTCATTTTTCTTTTGTCAGAATTAGTGCTATTCCAATACCTTGCCGACACCAATACTGCTAGAGGGCACTTCTGGTTGCTTAATTTTCAAAAAATAAATCTTCTAAAAGGCAATTTTAAAGAAATACAAGAATAAATAAGATTTAGAGGACTAAAATATTGATAATAAAATATTATCTTGACAAAAAGTACTGCTGATTTAAGCCAATTTAAGCACTTTCACTTACTATCACAGTGCTGATAAAAAGAGCACATGGCTAATTAAGCAGTGTACACAAAATCCAAGTTAGCTATCGCTGTTGCTGCTGTTATCAGGCTGCAGTCTCCCAGTTATTTTACCAAGTTCAGCGTCCACACCAAAGGTTAAATGAAGGTAATAACAAATGTCTTTTTTGTTAGTATGAACATGTTTTAAGAGTCTGCAGAGCCTCCACAATCTGTGTTTACCCTGCTCTGAGCATTTGCGATAGCATTACCCACCGAGGTAAACAGCAGCTGCTTGCATCTATGGGTCTTCATTCTGGAAAAAAACAGAGGTATCAGATCGGTGATTTAGTCTGAGTACTTACTGCAAATTTTTCAGGTATCAGCATCAGGGCTTTTGCTGATACTGATATTGAAATAACCCTAGTAAGAATGATGAGTCTGACAACAGAAGTCACAGAGACACACAGATTTTGATAATAGAAAATGAACTGGAACCAGAGCTCGAAGGACTCATTTTGTGCACATGCTCACTTCCTATTTGGAACGCAGTGGCTAGTGGGCTAACTATGTCCATTAATATACAGTCTGTGGTCACACCCCCTTTTCAGTCAATCAGCAGGACTTCAGTCAACTAAGAATTCTTTACTCAACCACTGCCCTGTGATGATCAAAGTGTGGTCTCTCGGAAGCATTGGACAGCATTAGTTGTCTCATAGAGTGTTGAAGGGATAACAAAAGTTTAGAAAATCTGATACATTTATAAACAGGCCCTGGTCTCTTTAATGATTTTGCACAACGAACCACAGTGGAGCAGTGCAGGTTTTTAATCAATTAATATCACTTTATTTGTCCCCAAAAGGCAATTTGAGTGCAGTAAAATACCACACATAATAATAATAGAAAAGCCCAAATAAAAGCCTCAGAATAATCAGATCCATTGTCATGGCAGTTTGAGGAGGGTAACTGCACTCCGGACAAAAGTGTCCCTCTGTGTCTTGAAGCCCTGGTATCACAGCAGCCTCCAGAGGGAGCCAGGTGAACTCTGGAGACACAACAGGAAAGGCTTTCCTAAGCCTCTCTCTCTGCTCTCTTGTTTCGGTCAGTGATGAGATGGGACATTCCTTCTGGAATGTCTTCTGCTATATTTGGTATAGAAAGCCTGTAACATTTCAGAGCTATCTGGTTTGCAATGCTAGCTCAATGCAGGGTCACCATGGATACAAGAAAAACAAACCCAAAATGTTACAAATTTAAGATAAAAATGTAAAAAGTTAAAATACTGCGCAGTGTGTCAGCCAGAAAAGCAGCCTACCGTGACCATGGCAACCATGGAATTAACGAACGCTGTTGATGTTTCTGTTTTATTTGTGTTTTAAACGTGTCTCTGTTTGTGCTTCTGACGATGACTCAGGACGGTAAGTGACCAGTGTGATGTGACGCCAAAGTAACTGGATCTGTCCAAGTCCTGGCTTAGTCTTGGTTTAGTCCCCGTTTTAGTCCCTGTCTTTTCTAGTCCAGATGTGGTCCTCTGGTCTGTCCTGTGTCTTGTGTTCTTCCCTTTGACCCTCTGTGATGTACACAGTGACAAGACAAGCTTAGAGCTGAACAGGGAGTGAACTTTAACAATCCTTTATGACAAAAAATCGATTTTTCTGAGCTTTGTTAGTGTTATCTCCTCAGAAACAAGCTGTTTTTTTTTTTGTTTTTTTATTTCATTCTCGCATGTTTGAGTAATCCTACATTATTAGTCCGTCTACTTCTCAGGCTATAATGCTCTGTTCCACCTTATGTCACAAAGTAGTAGTATTAGAATTCATTTTGTGTGATATAGGACCTTTTTTAGCATTTGAATCTTTGAAAAGTCTATAGAAAACACAAATGGTAAATGTACTTCTTTATACAGCAGGCTTAGAAATGGGTGAGACTGTTAGGCTCCAAGAGTTTGCACAAAGAAATTAGATGTCTTTGCACTTTTCTATAAACCTGTATCTCAATTTTGCGATTTTTGAGAGGGTAAATAAGTAAAACATAACAAAGGTCGATTTTGCAAACACATTTTACAAAATCCAGTCAGAGCTTTAACCTTGTTATAGTTATTTACCCTCTCAAAGCTGCTCAAATGTGAACGAATCATTATACAATCTTAAATTACACATTCACTCATTTTTGCCGATCAACCCTTCTTTTCACCTACCCACTGCTCTGTACTGACTTTGTTCTCGAATTTTATTTTCTTAATCAGTAATATGTGTATGATTTGACAGCGTTGAGTAGTCATTTTGGGATAAATGAAAAAATTTGTTGCTCGCTAGTGTGATGTAACCTGATTCATCAGCTGGTTTCACTTCGTAGAAACCGTGTGACCTCGCAGTGTTACAATTCATTCGCTTGACTGTAGGCGGGTACTTTTTATCATATAACCAATCGCTACTATTTGGTAGTCACGTATGTAATGCGCCGCTAACGGGACTAACTGGTATATTAAGCTTTTCCCAAATCCCGTAGGAAAAAGGGCAATAACGTCTTGCCCCTTGATAAAATTCACCAAATATTCTCTTTGTTCTGGAGTTAAATCCTTGATCTCAGGAATCTTTGACAACCTAGAATATATGGCTCATCACTGATTGGCTGGTGCCTGACACTTGCACTTCCGGGGTTTTTGCAAACCGTCAAGTGTATTTTGATTCTTGACCTAGTTGCTGGAGAGAAATAAAATTGAGCAGAGGCACTAGGTGGCGCTAGCCTGGCTAAGTGTGATGTGCAGCTATCATAAAATGTCCAAATTATATAACTGACTGAAGCATAATATATCTTCTTAAATGTTGATAAATCTGAGTGCCGATCTTTCTCCTCTGGCCCTTCTCACTGAGCTCTGTCTGTTTTGTTTTCAGGGATCTTTGCGTTCAAATGTGCCCGAGCCGAGGAGATCTTTAACCTGCTTCAGGAGGTGATGCACAGCCACAGCATCAGTGTGGTGGAGGAGGCAGTACTGGAGCCCAGCCACCAGGGAGCGCTGCACACCAACACTTCAGCAGGTACAGCACCACTGTATCCCCGTGTGTCAGATGCCTTCCCATTCTCCTGTGTCCATGTAGTGTTAGGCTGAGATGGGGGCAGGTCAAATGTCTCTTCATCTGCAGATGTTGTGGTGTGTCAGATGCCCTCCCAGATGCTGTGGCAGGAGAATGGATCTTGTCACTGATAGAAATGATCAGGGAAAACACATTATTGTCTAACTCTTCTCCTACCCTCTTTCTCCCGCTCCTTCCCCTCCCCATGTGGCTCTCTCAGCTCCAGGATACTCTGTGCCCACTGTGCCTAATGGTGTCACCCGTCTCCCATCAGTGGGTGACACGTCTCACCCATCGACGCGGCACCCATCTGTGGCTAGCACCCGTTTGCCCTCTGTGGGTGAGGAGTCCACACACCCTCTGCTCGTGTCTGACGACCAGGTACGTCGTACTGTCCACACATAACTTTTGTGTACTTTTGTGTACTATTGTTGTACTGGTTGGTCACTAACCCTCCTGCTCTAGGTGCAATCTTTTATTATTAGTAGTAATAGTATCTATAATCGTATCTGTAATAGTATTTATAATTGTATTTCCAGAGGTTATACATACACATGACATCACAACATTCCATGTCTATGTAAATGAGCAGCAAAGGTATATGAGTGCCAATGGCAGTAATGACCTTTTCTTCTTTAAGAGCTCAAAACATCCTCAAAATGTGAAAGAGCTGCTGCAGCTTAATAAGAAATAGAAAAGTCTACAACTTTGCTAAATATTTAGTACCTGGCATCTATAACAAGAAACTCGAGTCAACAGTAGAAAAACTGTTGACAGTTAAACAACAGGGACACTGCAGACTACACACACATTTATCATTGATAAATGTCCTGCAGAAAGAGCCGCTGTCCTGTGTAGTATCATGTCAGTGTCTTGTAGGATTTCAGCAGATTTCGGGCTCCTCGGGGGCGGGGCTAGTTGTATGGGTCTGGCTACTGAAGTTTGAAATGTTTCTTCTCGTCATTTATGCATTTAACACATACGGGTCATCAAGACGTATCCCACTCACTAATGTTCATTCTGCATCATAACTTATTTTAACACACGGTTTTAATTCTGGCACTAGCTGATATTTTCTCTGATTTTATGTTAACTGCACAGACAGCGGTGCTTTCTGCACTCAGGCTGCATGCACATCCGCTGTGTTGATAAACAAATAATCCGTGTATAGTAAGTCTTCCCTCTCTCACTGCAGGTGCACACGTACGTGAACACGGCAGGTCTGGAGGAGGCGTCCAGTCCTCTGACCGTTAGCACTCATCTGGAGAGTCCCACGTCTCCCCTCTGTCCCCCCACACCTCCCCCTCCTCCCCGGGCACCTCCTATGCCTCCCGTGCCCGCCACGCCCTCGCCTGTACCTATTGCTGTGCCCATCGCTGTACCTGCCTCTGTGCCTGCCGCTGTACCCGCCTCTGTACCAGTCTCTTTACCCACCTCTGTGCCCACTGTACCCACCGCTGTACCCATGGCTGTGCCTGCTCCGGAGCCTGTGGTGCAGATGGAGGGTGCGGCTGTGCGCTTCGTCCTGGGTCCCACACCAGTGCAGCGGCAGCAGATGGAGCAGCAGAGACAAAAGGACCAATCGGAGACGGCCAAACAGGACAAGGACCAATCAGAGGCCGGTAAGTCGGAGGAGGCGGGACCTCAACCCAACGGCTCTGCTTCATGCGGCCCCGCCCCTCGCCGCCACAGGCCTCCGCCCCTAACCCCTGACCCCAACGTGAATAACTCTGCTCTGCGCCGCACGGCGCTGTTGGACTATGAGAACTTGCCTCCTCTGCCTCCGGTTTGGGAGGCGCGGGCTCGACCAGAGGAGCCCACCTCCGCCCTAAACGGCTTCAGCTGCGCGCCGCACAGTGCCCTCTACAGCCCACCACCGCTCAGCGCGGTGTCGAACAGCGCGCATTGTTACGTGAACACTGAGAACGTGACAGCTCCTCTGAGCGCTCACGTGGCTCGAAGCTCGCGCCGCGCGGCCGATGCTCCCACAGTCTTTAACTTTGACATCAGACGCCCCCTGGAGGGACAGACCCTCAACTACGTGGAGGTGGAGACGGACACGAACCACAGCCCGCCCACGCCTCGCACGCCCACCTCCCCCGCTCCTGGCACACCCACCCGCAGAACCGAGTTGTATGCCCTCATCGACATTGAGCGCACCGCTGCAATGTCGTCTCTGCAAAAGGCCCGCCCCAAAGACGACGGCACCGCCAGGAAGACTCGCCACAACAGCACCGAGCTGCCCACCAAGGCCACAGCCTGAGGGCAGATCTGGTTTAGACTGGGTTTAGACTAGGTCTAGACCAGGTTTAGAGTTAGACCAGGCTGCTCACCAAGGTCACGGCCTGAAACCTGGGTCTGGTTTAGCTCGGGTCTCTGTCTCTCCAGGGGGCGTGGTCTAAAGACTTGGGGTGGGACCAAGAGCACTGTGGCAGCACTGCAGTTTGGACACTTCACCTGCAGGGGGCAAATGATGTAAAAGGAAGCACAACGTCACCTCCAGGGGGCAGCGGCGTAAATCATGAGTTTGGTACAAAAATGACGACGCTCCAAAAGACAGGACTCTTATGAAATGTGCCTTTTCCGCTTCTGCCTCCTCTCTCTCCTCTGCTTCCTCTCCCTTCTTCTCTCTCTTCTCTCTCTCCATCACTCTCTTTCTCTCTCTATCCCTTTTCTGCACTCACTCCTCTTTTCTCCTGTTTCTCTCCCTTCTCTCTCCTCTTATTCTTTGGGTGAAGGGTCCAAACTGCCCTCCTCCTTTGGGTGCTCCCCCTCCCCTATCGGTGAAGTGTCCAATCGCCTTCGGGTGCTGCTCGCTTCTCGGACTGTCGGAGCATTGGACTCCGCCTCCTCAAACGTTTCTCTGATTTTAGGTTCTTGTTTTGGGGTCAAAGGTGAAAGGTACTCGACAGTATTAATAATAATGATCATTCCAGTTATATCTTTTATACTCACGCTGCTGTGTCACGGTACAACTGTAAAACTCGCCACAATAAATGCTCATTTTTATTTGTACTTCGGACAAAAAAGAAAAAAAAAAAAATTCACTACTTTTGTCTTTTATTTGTGTGATGAAGTGACAGGAAATCCTGAGTCGGTTTTGTACTTGATCTTCAAGAGGAGTATTAGGCAAAATATTTTTGTTTTGTTTTCTACCCTATATAACATTGATCCCTCATCAAAAACATGCCAGAAGAGGTTTTAGATTTCATCCATGCATGTTCAGTATTTTAGCGATCTTTCTCAGGCTCTGTTCATACCCTCCTTATGGTTAGCTGTAAGATTTTGTGCAATTCATTTTCCAAGCTCTCATTTAGGTTGCCATTTTCAATGCTGAAATCCAATTGGTTTAACCCGAAAAGGATGCTCTCTGATCTGAATCGTCATTAACCCCAGCACCTGCAGCCAATTGTGATTGCAGTGCACTGGTGCTACATGGGTGAGGTCATCAAAAACTTTGTTTCTGTAACTCAAATGGTGAAAGCTCTCCCCTCTTTGCCCTCTTTGCATCTCTAGAAGCGCCGTTGCAGGCTATAGGCCTTTAGTTGTGTAGTCAAATACTGTCAATGTTGTATTAGTCAATGTATAATTTTAATAAGGTTATATTGAACAGGAGAGTGTAAAAATGAGTCTGTCCTTATATAATTGTTTCCTAGTACTTTTCCTGCATATAGTGTTTGCATGAAAACCCATGCAGGGCGAGTGCAATTTGGGCAGATTAATGTTCATGAATTCAAACTGGTCTGAGGAAAAGCTTTATTAAATTTACATATCTTATAGAAAAACATAAAAAGTACAAAATGCATCATTACATTTACTCCCATTCACACAGATCAGTCATTACTCTATGTACAGCTCAGAATAGTGCCCGTTTCTTTAAGAGTCCATTTAAATCAGGTGAAGATCGTTAGCTTGAGCCGAAGTTTGGAAAAGCGTTCGTTCTCGTCAAAAGTCTTCGTTTCGTCGCCTGCTCCACCAGCTTTTGATAATCATCCAATTTGTCCCGAAGTTTGGTATAAATCTGAAAAAAAAAAAGTTAAGACTCCATCTGCTGCATCCTTTGACTCTCCTCTTCACAAAAATCTCTTCTCTGCCTTTTCTTCTAATATCACTCTTATCACATACATTTTATTCCTGCTCAAATAAGTAATGGAAATAGTAAACAAAGCATTAAAGTAAGATAATCTTACTTTAATGCTTTGTTTACTATTTTAAACAGGATTGTGGATTAACAAGAAAATCTGGTACAGGACCCTTTAAATTTCCACAAATTTCAAACATGAATTTCAGGAAACTACCATATCTGGTCCAGTACTGACATAATGTATAGGCAGCTCTTGAGGTCAGCAAAAGTCTGCTGTGTACTGTCTATCTAATTATAAAGCTATTCTCTTCAGCAACAGCACTGTTAGCATGTTAGTTTGCTTTTTTGTGACGGCAAAAGCTCCACTCTGGTCTCTGAAATCTGTGAAAAGTGCTTATAAACTCATTTTGTTGAATAACTAGGATGCTCAGAATGCATAAAGTAAGTGTGGAATAACTTTGGACTACTGCAAACCATTTAAAATGAACTAGTTCTGTTTTTCATGTTTAAAAGACAGCAAAAAATATGGTTTGTGGATCAACAATAAAAATTAGGTTGTGGGAATTCAGTTTGCCTTACCTTAGACTTCTGGTATGATAAAATAACTTGAGATAATGTATTTAAATGTGACCCTAGTAATCTCAGCCATATACGTTTAAAGTTGTTAGTCATTAGTTAGAGGTAGTAGTTGTAAGCCTCTAACACCCTCTGGTGTTGGTTCACTCACATTAGTATTGGCCTGCGTGGAGCTCAGAGCCTGCAGAAGTTGGTCGATGGCGGTGTACGGCAGCCACACCAGATGCCCGGTCGCAGAGAGGGGCTTCTGCAAGAAACAATTACAAAGGAAAAAACTGGTTAAATATTATACATGTGTTTATCAGTCAGTCTACTGCAGAGGTGGGTAAAGTACTTTTCAAACCTTGCTGTACGATATATTACTCAAGTAAAAGTTGTGGTTCCTTTTCCCATTGTGAGTAAGTCTACAAGTGACAAAAGCTTTATGTTGGCAATATGAAATGATCTGAACATTTGTGTTTTTTGCACAGCTCCTTAAGATATGATTTAGTTTGTCTCATTTTTGTGACCTTCGAAAAAAAGCAAAGTGCACTATTAATATATTGTCCTTCTAGTTACATTAACTTCAAATTATAATTCAAATATTATGCCCAGACAGTTACTCTTTAAGTTACTCTTAGTTGAATAGTAATTACCCCAAGTACTTGACTACCATAATTTTCTGGACCACTAGTTTGTACTTAATGTTACTTAAAATAAGCCACAGTACAATTTGAACTTCAACTACTACAAATTGAACTTCAACGCTTAAGGTGTCCAAAGAAGCAGCAGTAGTAGTAGCATAGTATTTTTTACCTCGATGCCAAAGTATTGATGTCCTTTCCCCAGTACTGCATCCACGTACTCCAGAACCAGCTCGGCTGCAGACTCCAGGAGGTCAAAGTTCAAATACAGCCGGAGCAGAGAGGCTGCATCTACGGACTAAAGAGAAAGAAAGTTAGGGCCAACTTAAGTGTTCAACATACTACTGTCTTGTGTTTTGATTATTCTCTTATCAGAACTGGTACTAAGTGGGTTTAGTGCTTTAGTTTAGCCCTAGTACTTTATATAATAGAAGTGAAAGGAGATGTTCGGCTGCAACTAACTGAAGCTCATCGAGGCTAGCAGAAAGAGTGGCTAATCTGCAATCATATTTCAAAATCCACTCCTCACCCACGCTCACTTCCTACTTGGAGCGTACTATATTTAACCCGAGTACCTTGTGGTATGGGTTTTGGTACTTTTGTTAGCCCTGGTACCTTGTATGTCGCGATGATCCAGTCTGGTAGAGGCACTCCATGAGACAGTAGTTTAGTGATGACGTGTTTGTGGTGCTGCCCGTTACCCGAAAACCTGTCGAGGTATGAAGCCAAAAGGCGCCACGCCTCATCTGTGGCACTGAGAGAGAGAGATGGGTAAACAAAGGGTTAATCGCATTAACACTTTAGAATTACTCTAGTTTAAACTGACCCGGAGGACAGGTCAGAAGTCTATGGAAGAATTAGTTTAACTGTCAAACTGCAGATTTATTTAACCTGGTTTATGGTTGATATCTCTAATTACTGGGTCTATTCACATGAAACAAAAATTGGCACAAAGTTCAACATCTTCTCTGTGAGTATAAAAAAAAATATAATAAAGTGAAATTATTTTTTCACAATAGCTTCAGAAAGTCCCAAAGACGTGAAAATTGTCAAATGAAGATTAATATGACCAGCTTGAGGAGCCAATCCCACACACATAATGAGAAGGTTCAACATTTACCCTCACCTGGATTCTTTAGTGTTGACAACCGTTGACAATTGATTCGCAGCTAACCAGCTCCAGGCTTCATTCTGAACGTCCTCTCCTCCAAACTGCAGCTTTATACACCTGAGAAAGAACAGAATAAAACATTCTTTATATCTAAGGAGCACAGGCATGTTACCCATACTATACACTATTCACCATCAAGATCATGCATGCTAAAGCAAGAAATGTATAAAAGGTATTGGGAGTGCAGGGGTACTCCAAGAAAATTACAAGTGGTGTCATTTCCTGCTTTTTAGTGGGTTTTAGAGGTTTTTCAAAATCCAAACTGCTCTTGTTTACTTTTACAGCAGTGACAAAATAATTAAATACAAAAATGACTTATCCAATAATACTGAAACGATAGAGATGATAGACTTGACTCACTTAAAGGCCAAACCCTCGAACACTGGGGTGAGCGGGAGGTTAAAAGTCTGACACACACAAATAGCAGTGTCAAAAAGTCCAGTTTGAACCAACAAGGCCACCATCTCCACAGCAGCCGCACTCCCTACAGGAAAAGGGAAGCATGAAACAGTAAGTGAGACAGATCAGGATCGTATCTGCACAGCTCGTGGTTACAAGGTGGAGGACTGTACCGGCTATGGCAGCAGACGGAGGATGGTGCTGAGCCAAAGTGAGACGACTACGAGACAAAATGTACTCTCTCTCTAGGTCACGCAGCTCCAAGATATCCACCTGACGACGCACTGGGAGGAGAGAGAGGGAGCAAAAAAAAAGAGGGAGGAAGAGAGAGAAAGAAAAATGAGGAGAATGGAAGAAGAGAGAATAGGGGGAGAGAGAAAGAGGAGAAAAAGCAGAGGGAGGGGAAAAAAAAAGGAAAGACAGGACAAGGAATAGAGTTAAAAGTAGAGGAGTAGGAAAAACTGTTAATTTATGTTCAATTAAAAACTTTAAGGCCCGTTATTCTATAGATTCTATTATGATGATGTTATAAATTATTATTCTAACAGTTGCATTCAATATTTTAAACATGTGCTACTGTAGTTTAAGAGGTGTGTTCCTGTGTCTGTACCTGGTTCAGGGGTGAACTCTCCGTCTGAGTTCCTCTTTGGAGATGCTCCTGGACGCTCATACTGAAACAAAACAGATGATTTTGTAACTTTCTGTTGGTTAAATCTACTATTTTATTAGCTCCACAAAAATGTATTTAATTGAAATCTGAGTCTAAAGGGTCACACGTGTAAAGGTTAAAAATTCTGGCACAGCCTTTAATAAAACATGAATAAAATCAACTGCTTGTTAGAGGGAAATGTCTCTATGAAGAGGGGGGACATTTCAGATGTATAAAGTTATTTTAGCCAGGAATAAAATCAAGAGTAAGGCAAACCTCTATCAGTACTGAAGTCTTAATCCCGGACTAAACTAGGACTAAACCCAGTATGAACCAGGACTTAACCAGAACTGAACCTCTCCCAGTTCATACCGTGGCTCCAACGGCGGGCTGGACGATCCAGGCATACTCAGGACGGATCAGATGCAGGCAGTTCAGAGCCGACAGATAACAGTTCACCTGTCGCTGGAGCCCCGCCCTTGACCGCACTTCCCGCCCTAAACGCATTCCCAGCTCAAACATCACTGTGCCCGCTGTAAAGAAAGAATAAAATACGTTATATTCATAAACAATTTTTTGTATTAAGTACATTTCTCACTTAATCCTTGAAAAGCTTGTCAAGAAAGTTCACAAGCTGAGGTAAGTCTATATGATGACAACATAAAAATACTGTGTGTAAATGTTTGACTTTGAATTCCAAAAACATGTTCAAATCAAATATAACACTTTTGTAATACTGATTTCTTCTTAATTTGAAAACTGAAAAACAGAGGTAAAGTTGTTTGTTATAATCTGGTGTTTTGGTTCTCAAGGTAAACCAAAACACCAATGCTGCAATCCAGTTGCTTTCATGAAACAGTGCTAGTGCAGCCTCTGCAGCTCAGCAAGGGAATCCTGGAGGTTCTGAGCTAAGAGTTTGTGTGGTATGTGTGTGTCTTTGTTTGTTCATGTACCTTTCCTGTAGTTGTGTCTTTGGATGTGAAAGGCGTATAGCAGCTCGTAATAATTA